CTTTGTGCTTGTATTTTAGAAATTAAAATCGGGAACACCCTACTTATTATAGATAAGTATGGTTTTTTAGGATCATCTGTTCTTCATGAATGATGATCAGTTCTTCTCATTCTTATTGAAATAATTTAGGAATGAATTTGTTGGGAATAGTTGACTGAAAGGCGGTGACCCAGAAGTAAGCGTTGAGAAGGTGCATTTTGCGCAGAGGCAGTATGGATCTCCTACTGAGAATAGGGTTCTCAGAAAGTATAAAATAGAGAGAAAATAGAGAAAAAGAGCAAGGCAGCTGTTTATAAATAACCAGAGCATTGCCTAACCATTCATAGTGGAGTAGACTATGATGTAGTAAGTCAGGATACTGTTCATACTGACCACCAAACTTTAAGTAAATGGTAGTAATACAGCCCCTAAATTTAAGTGTACAGCAATGGAGAGTGAGGGGTTGTGAAGTGTGTCAAGTTTATAGAAGAGAGGCTGAAGTAAGAAGCTTGATGACTGCATACTGAAACTGAAAGTCCAGCAAGAGTGGTAAATTTGTCAAAAAGCGTTGATATATATATTTTTCACCGTCTGTCAATTTTAAAATCGAATACCAACCTCCAAGTCACACTGTAAGTGCCTGGGTAAGTACATTTCTGGTTGTCTCAGCAGAATGCAGACAACAGTATGTTTTTGAAAATCTGAGTCTCTGAAGTAACAGGCGTATACGAGCAACCACAGTATTACTGAGAAGTCACTTTACCAGTCGAAAAGAGCCGATACCCAGCAAATTTTTACCCCACAAACATGGATGTATTGAAGTCATCGCCCTCAACATCGATGTTTTTTGATCAGTAACTCCATGCTCCATCTTTTTGTGTTGTTCTTCTCATTTAAAATCATTATTAGACAATTTTTTATGATCTACTTGTGGCTCTATATTTCACATCCTGCTGAGAAGCGCTATTTCTGTAAGTTCCTTCTACAAGCTTTTCTGGCTGTCACAACTTATTAACTAATTGTTAGGCATCAAAACAATACAGCTTACAGTTATGGGGGAAAGAGTACGGGTTTTCAAACAAATTATAAACACTTATAACCTAGTGGCGGCGATGCGTTTACGAAGTAAGCAGGAAAGTTGAAGAGTATTATAGTTATAAGTGGGGCAGTAGATAACGAGATACAATCAATAGTACGTCAATAGTGTGCACGTGAGAACATTAAAACTGGTGATGGGCTATTTGAAGTTCACATGTTTATGGGTGTTGATAGAGTTTTTTCAATCCGAAACGGGTGATGTCTTTTCAGGCTGTGGATTCATGTTCACTAGAGGTTAGGCAGCAAATGGTAGTGCTTTGGCGACCATTCCTTAGGGAAGTAGAGTGCATTCTAATCACCCAGCTAGTAGTTGAATAGTGTCGTTCGACCCAGTAAATAACCTTTCTACTTCAAGTAAACACCAAAGAGGTTTGTATTCAAGTAGAAAAATTTAATGCTACTTCGGAGAAAAAATGATGATGATGAAATGCAGCCCTCATTTCGATATAGTTTAGGCGAGTACAGAGCTAATAATCTGGAAGTAAGGTGTGAGTGAGTTTGAGGTGCAAATGAATCATTTCAACCGAGGGTTTCATTAAGAAGCTTTACAAACTCATACAGCCCATCTGCTATGCATATTTTTGAAGGAAGGCTATTCCATATCAGTGCATAGTAAGTGAGGAGGAAGTTTTCTCGAGTTTTTGATTTATACTTCTCAAGTTTCACAGTAGAAACTTTATCTCGAAGGTTACATTGGCCTTTGATGAATACTACAATACAAGAGGAGTATATGAGCTTGCTCAGGAACTTGAAGTAGAGGATTAGATTGGACTTGGGCCTTCTTTTCGATAATGGTTCAAATACAAGTTCATGACATCGGTTGGGGTAGTCAATGAGGGATTTATGTAACTCTAGATAATTAGAGAAATAGACGAAACCCCCATGGTATCGAATAACCGGGATAAAATACCTCCTCCAGAAGGACCAAGAAGTTTCTAGAACAGCTGAACAATTACTAAATGTAGGATATTCTCAGTGTTCTCTAACTATTTTCTTACTTTCTGAAATTATTCTGTGTCAATTACAAGCACCAAAATATCGATCTTTTCAATATTCTTATATTTACTGTAAAAGAAGTTGAAGTATTCTTACTATGCTTACGTATTAGTGTATATATATGCTTTACGAATAATCAGAAAATTCCTTTTTGAGCGTGATTTTTCTTGCTGTCATTGCGTTCCAGTGATTCTAGGTTTCTTCCGGTGACCCAGCATTGATCTCCTCATGATTTTAACCTATGTTTATGCTCAGACAGTGTTCTGAAACAACCGCGAGGGCTGTAGAACCTGATAATTTCCCACTTGTAGCAGAAGTGTTAGTGGAACAGGAAGAATACTTAAAGAAGGATACAGAAGGATATTTGTGGTGAGAGGTAGGACTTTTGAAGTAGTTAAGGCCGACAAAAAACAGATAATCGACTATTTAGTAGCTCTTAAAAGTATCCCGTTAATTATATGGTTTAGTCAAGAATCAGTGATAAAAACCAAACTTCCTCTTATAACTTCTTTTATCCGTTGGCCTGATTTGGATGTTTAAGTCCTGATTTCGCTTTTAGGAGTTATATTCTACACAAAGGTAAAGGTAATTTAATTCAGGTTACTCAGCATTGGACACTTAAGTATGAGATAAGAATAATAGAAGAAATGCCACCAATGAACTATTATCTGACAAATAAAAGCATTTATATATAAGTACGCTACCATAAATGGTTCGGAAATCACGTGCGAACACTAGTTGGTCTTAGAATTACATTTTTTCAGGGTGTTTGTCATACAAACAAAAGTATGGTTAGGCATAAAGCGAGTTCGGAAAAAGTTGATGATCTATAATCAACGATGTATTGTCCAATGACTAGCGCAGCTTCAACAAGACATCTGGTAAAGAAGCAATGTAATTCAAACAGGACAATCAGACATAACCAGAACCTAGTCACATCCTTCTGTGTCCATTAGAAGACAGAGAAATGCTGCCTACCAGGCTCTTTATCAAATGTTATTTGATGTCTCAATTTGGCATCTACATTACATGGGAAAATTTCGACCCTGACCGTTTGTTGAACGGATTCGAGGAAATTGTCCTCTTCTCTTTCATATGATATCACGACATGCTTGATTGTTCGAAAATCCTCTATGGTCAGGTTACTTTTCTCTCGATGGTTATCGTTAAACTTTATACTTAATGTACATTACAATAAGTTGGAATGAGAGGGTCACAAATAGACAGTCCTAAGGCTCTTCCTGTAGTCAGAGAACTCAAAAATACTCAAGTGCCTTAACTCCATAACTGTATTCTTCTGAAACTTTGAACATGATCAGTGCTTTAAATCTATTTTTAACTACATGGATAAGCACATCTTTTATGTTATGGGGCTATCTAGCAACGATGAGTTGCGCAGGTAATAGATTTTCATATTTGCACATCTTCTGTTAGAGAATCCACATAAGACTATACCTGTTCATGATTCAGTATCGTTGAAGAATTCACCATGCTGTTCAAAAGGCAGCAGTTGATGGATTAACCAGTACTGACTAGCGATACATCTGACGTGGTACCCTATAACGAACATTCTCCTTCACGTAATAGATGACAATGAAAAGCAACTAAGGTAATCCTCATGCAATTTGTTTCTATTGTGGTCAGTGGCTGAGCGAATGACTCATCATTCAAAGTCCTTTACTTGCAAACCTCAGTGACAAATAAGTTATTTTTTTAGGTAATCTGCAACTCCTAATGAGTTTGACTCATAAATTTGAAACGTGTATATTTTTTTCTTATCAATCGAAGTCATCGTTGTACAACTGAACGTTTACAAGTTTAAAATATTTGGTCTGGCGAGAGGAGAGAGGGTAGTGTATCTGACCAGCAACTAGATAGTAGTGAGATAATTTTGTTTGTTTCCGCTCCTAAGGATACAGCAGGATATAACTAATCGGTGATACTGATGTTATTTTTCCATGTCTGTGACTTATATTTGTAACCTTGAACTGATTTTTAATCCTGATATACTTCAGTTTCTAGCTTTTTCAGTTATACAGAGTCCAATCCGAAGGTAGAAACATTTCCCCAACTCTTAAAAGTGAAAGCGGAGGGGCTTAGTGCAACCAAGAACTGGCCAAAGGTTACAATATGTTTACTTTTTTGACAGGTCGTCATCTCTTGTTGATTGAACACTCCTCCAGTAGCGGTCAAAACTTTTGAACCCGTTATTGAATCCACAGGTTTCATTGCCATTTAGCTATCAAGATATCACCAATATGTTATGGAGTGTGTATCCGCATAAAGCTTCAGTATTGCGTATGAGCAGACAGTATTAACTTGGGGATGAAAATGGTTTGTTTGGACGAAGTTCATGGAATGAAAACGAAATAAATTTTAGAGACCCCAAAACGACTATAGACCAACATAATCTCTCTCTATCAGATTGACTTAGAGACGACTTGAGGACACGTTGCTGAGAAGTAGCACTGAGGCTTGCAGGTTTTCATCTTAATTGTTCAAAAAACAGGATTTATGAGGGTATTGTGAAGGCATTCTACAAACGTCCTAAGTCACGCAGCCAATAAACATAAATTTAGATCACTTGTTGTCCCATCGAATCTCCGAGAAAATATTTGCGCCATATTGCCTGATTCCAAGCAATTCGCCGGACTCATTAGAAGTAAACTTTGACCAGACGAAAGACCCCTATGATTAGGATTACCTTGGGTCCCTATATTTCAGTCTCAACCAAACTAAATTTATCTTAGTCTTGTAGAGAAACAGAATTTTTAGGTCTATTGAAAATAGGGACAAAGAGGAAGGTAAGAGCATATTTGTCCTATGTTTGTGTTATGTCATGTGACTTTTACAACTTTCTTGTTATCTCTTTTCTTTTAATGATTGGTCGACGTTTTGGTTGCTGCATTTGAAATTTTTGTTACACAATGGCGGCCGAGTCTAATTCTCGAAATATCAAGCAACCTGATTCAGTTTGGGAATATTGTGGTGTGAATCTAACAATTCACAACATAATTATTCCTGAGGAACGTTTATATCCTACCCCTTCGCAGTTAGACAAGATGGATTATGAGACAGAGATTGACTTAAGGATTATTGGGTGTGAGTTGATCCAAGATTCAGGGGTTTTGTTACGACTACCTCAAGTCGCTATGGCTACTGCGCAGGTGTTGTACCAACGATTTTTCTATTCGAAGTCATTTGTTCGACATTTCTATGAGGTAGGTGCTTATCTTATAACCTGTCTTCAGCACTATGCCATGGCATGTATATTTTTGGCTGCAAAACTTGAGGAATCTCCTAGACGCATAAGAGATGTAATCAATGTTTTCCATCATATAAGACAAGTTCGAGATAAAAAGTATGATCCTATGCGTTAGTGACTGTTTTTTAGAACACCAACACCCGTCATTCTCGATCAAAGCTACAGTAATCTTAAGAATCAAGTTATCAAGGCTGAAAGACGTGTTTTAAAAGAATTAGGATTTTGTGTTCATGCCAAACATCCTCACAAGGTAATTTATTTCGAGATTTCTTATATCCTGCAGCTTGTTATATGTTACTTGCAGGCCTTGGACCATGAGAATAACAAAACCCTTGTACAAACTGCTTGGTAAGTCAAGTTTTCTTTGTATACAGTGCTAAGTTATCACAGACGCTTGAGATTAATCTGTTTTTGGTTCCGACCTCATAGTTTTCGCTTAATATTTTTGGCACTAACTAATTTAATAAGACCTCTAATGACAGTCATTACCGGTGTATCCTCCAACCGAAGGCATCTAGCTGCAAAGAGATTTACGTGGGTTATCTCTGCTACTTGGCGTCTAAATTTTTTAGTGTAGTTCAGTCGCACAGCACCGATTACTCCTTGAGTCGTAGTATGTACATCAGAGTTGCAATGAACATCAGAAATCAACTTGTAGACACTTCATCTGAATCAAACTAAAACATGGTCTGTCCGTCACGTTTTGAGTTATGCGCAGGAATTATTCCCAAAGTTGATGGATTACCATCCCAAAGCATGGTGTTTTTACTCATTCATTATTTACGAGTTAGACAGGTGGTTTTGAGTGGGGTTTATACTTTCGGATTAACTGAAGTCGAGATGGCGTTACTGCACTAAATTCAAGGTAGTATCAACGAATTTTTCTCGTCCTCATAGCTTTTGTATAATATTGGGGTGAGGTTAGGTAATGTCAGCCCCCCAAACTCTAACTCATTTCCTTCGCCTGTGATAAGGTCTGGAAATTCTACGATACGAAATGTTCTTAACTTGTGTAGTTGATCTCAAGTTGCTACCCCTTCGATTCTGTATAGATTCTTCTAAGTGTCTGAGATAACTAACAAGTTTTGGTTTCAGGTACCTCAAGAGAAATAATCCTACATTGTTGACAACAGAGAAATGACGTTCTCAGCCGCAGAAAATCAGTCGATGCTTGATATACTGGATACATATATCCAACATGGATTTATCTCAACGGTGTTTACTGTTGTGTTAGTAGTTCAATCGAACGGTGAAGCGGCCTAACAAAACCAAAGCACCAGTCCACGAAAGCAGGTTCGATTGGCTTTTGCCAACCTGCGTCACTTATGGTGTAGGCGTGATATCCGTTTGCTGACTAAAGGACGAGTGTACTGTGCAGTAGTTCGCCCCGTCTTACTTTATGGCTGTGAAACATGGCCGGTAAGAGTAGATTTTCGTAGGTTATTGGTTTTCGATCATAGGTGTCTTCGAAGCGTTGTTCGTATATCCTGGGACACCTGAGTGAGTAACGTTGTTATTAGGAAACGGGTGCTAGTTAAGAATGGCAGATCAATCGATGAAGTGATGAAACTTCATCAGTGGAGGTGGTTGGGACATGTGTTGCGTATGCCCAACCACCGACTGCCTCGAAGAGCTATGTTTTGTAGTGTAGGAGTAGGTTGGAAGAAGGTTAGGGGCGGCCAAAACAAAACATCGCAGAAATCCATGAAGTCATTGACGAGTGGACTTAGCCATGCCGGTAGTTGTCGACTACCTGGTTGAGGTCCGCGAGATGATAATAATCGATGGTTAGATACCCTGAATGACATGGCTCAAAATCGTTCGCAATGGCGCCGGTGCATTTATTCTTTTTGTTCTCTCAAATCCTAATCTTCTGGATTCTTCAACACATCTAGTTTTTACTTTCTAAACTTATCTCACTGAATCATACTTCTTGAATAATATCTTCTAATCCTAACCTCTCCGATTACTTCTAATACCTTTACTACCTCCTACTATTGGATTTGAATCGACAATTATATCTGTGTGCTGATGTGGTATGGCGAAATGGACTGATGTACTTACATGCGAAGTTCTACGTTGCATTTGACTAACTGACCGCGAAGGCAGCTGCTGACACATTTATGTTTGTAGATGCAAACTAGCCGTTTGGGGTTCACGCGTTTCTCACAATCAATAGTTGGCGACTTCGACATGCTTCTTAATCGATCACGACCACCCAAGCGCGTTCACTCCTGGTCGTATCTTGAATCTTAAACTTTATATTGATCTCAGACATTTTTGCCAAATTGTTCCTCAGTCAATGTTTATGCCTAATATTTTTCAATCAATCAATCAACAGCAACTTAGAACTTCGTACCTACGTACGTATATCAGTTCAAGTTGCCGTAACAAATTAGCACAGAGATGTAATTGTCAATTCGAATTCCATAGTAGTAGAGGTGGCAAAGGTATTAGCAATGATCGGAGAGATTAGGGTTCGAAGATAGTTTTGAAGAAGTAGAATCCAGTGAAATAAACCTAAAAGAAAAACAAAAAGGTGATGAAAAACTACGTTTAGGATTTAGGAGAACACAGAGTGGTTGCATTTGCGGTATCGCAAACGGTTTTGAGCCATGTCTTCTGGATTCGTCAACACCTCTATTTTTGTTTTTCTGAACTTATCTCACTGAATTATACTTCTCGAATATTATCTTCGAATCCTTATCTTCTCCATTGGCAGTAATTCTTTTAATATCTCTACCACTATGGGATTGGAATTAACAATTACGTCTCTGTGCTAATGTGGTATGACAACATGAACTGATGTACTTACGTACGAAGTTTATGTTGTAACTGATTGACTGATTGCCATCCTTACCTAATACCTTTTGCTAACTATAGCATTGCTTACTCGACTGTCGAACAATACAAGCAGTGCTTTGAAGACACGTATGATCAAAAACCGCAAGTCGACAAAAGCCAGCTCAGCTTTCAGTACCCTTGCTAAGATTTCGTCAGACAACAGGCCATCAGCACTGATGCGACTCCCAGACAGGTGATGCGGTCGACACGCTCAACTACTTCACTCATTAATTCTGGTACCAAAGCAATGAAGACTACACCGGTGTCTGATGGCGTTATGGTCCAGTTGGGTCGATTTTGGAGGTTGCCGTGTTAAAAATTGTTTCTCCTTGTGCTTAAAGTTAGTATTTTCTAGAAACATGCGATTATCTGAGCATAGCCGCGGTAGACGGTCTCGATTATCTATCTTTTGAGTCATGTCACTATAAGATCCACCCAGGTGTCCTTCCTTTTCGCTCAGTCTACCTGCATGAGCATTAAAGTAACCCGATACTGCTACTTCACTAGAGTGCTTAACTTTTCAAGCGAATTTCGACAGCTTTATGTGAAATTCATCTTTTACCTCGTCTAAACTGCAGTCAGTGGAAACGTAGGCAGAGACAACGAAGAGGCAACAGCAAGTGTCCTTATCCTTTCGAGTCCTTACTTTCCCGTCTAGTCGAGCAGTACCTAGGCAACTATCTACAATGATTCAGTCAGAGGGAGATAGTTCCGCCGTAGGACTTAGTACTATACCTACCCCAGCGAAGCCATGGGAAGTGGCGGTGAGGCTTCCAGATAAACGGAGTGGTGACCGAGTTTGTTCTTTATCTGGACAAGATAAAGTCAAATTAGTGATTTTACTCAGATCCTGTACGCGCGTTTCGCAGACGTAGTATACGTCGATGGCACGAGATTCGAGGGTGCTAGGTAGGATAGCCTGTTGTCCAGACATTGAAAGCTGCAACATGAAGTTTTGAGCGTGGTTTTAGGAGACAAGGAATAGAGTGTCGCATACTCGGGTCGCTTGTATCAGCGGCGCGAGGTGGCGAAGGAATGAAAAAACAGTTGTTCGTGGAGATAGGAGAGGTGTAGGAATAATTTGGTTGTGACCATTATGGTTTCGTGTGCCGTTACGTGTCTGGGGTGGATGCCACTTCTCGGCTTCCCACACCGTCGAAGCGTGTTTCTTGAGGAACCTGGAAAGGAAGTTGGATTAGCGTTGGTCTTAGCGACCTGGGAATGTGACTGCAGAGCCCAACGAACAACCACTTGGGGTTGATCGTGTATGGCTCTTTTAATGATTAGTTTTTGACGAGTTAGCTCCGTTCTTCACAAGGCCTCACTACGGGAGACGGAAACCTGCGTAGTTACGGTGCGAACTTTTCTAACCCTTTCGTTCCTTGTGAGAAGTCAGGATCGCAGCAGACGCTGTTTGTCAAAGGATAACACCTTACTAATGTCACACCGCTCTACAGTTAGCAATACGACTTCGTCCTCAAACCTTGAGTTGCTGCTTTTATTTGTGCTGTTCTCCAGTCGACCTGTCTGGCGTGGTAGAACCTACGGAAATATATGTTCCAGCCAATATAGCTCGGTTTGGTCATCACGACAGACAAGCCTGATTACTACTTGATGGTAGTGGCTACTCCAGAATCGGATAGTTCTGTACATAAATTTGCAAAATGTTCTTGTTATATAGGAGGTCTCCGATTTTACTGGACGATATTCTCGTTATGGAAATCAACAGGCTGGTAGATGAACGCAGTGTTATGTAATTGAGTTAACTTCACTCACGGATAGTATTATTTACTTAAGTTCACGAACATTTAAATTTCAAAGACACGATCACTAGCAAGACGAGATTTTTCTACATAGTGAATTATAATGCCTATTTACAAAACATCAAATGCAAACTGAACGTAATAAAATGTCATAGGTTATTGGTTGAAATTAGGTAAGGTAAGCAAGGAACTTCTCCAACGTGGTAGTTTAGAAATACTACTATTAAACTTCAGTCGTTATTTATTTGTATTGATGCTTTTTATAATTTCAACTGTAATTACGTTTAACTATCATACACCACAGAAATTTATAGCAATTGGAGATCCTAAATATAATGCAGTTGTAGATAGCTTTTTATAATTTCAACTAGTGACATGCTTTGTCTTTGCTCCAGATGGTTGTAACCCACTTAGTCGAATTAGAAATCCTATGCTTGTGTGAATCAAAAACAATGTTTTTTCTAATTGTTGGGTCAATCTTGTGTGCCAAATAAATTATTTTAAAAGATACCAAAGGCTTCTCAATTTACGCTCATTTTAGGAATTACATGAACGATAGTCTTCGAACTGATATATTTGTACGTTATCTTCCGGAAGCTATTGCATGTGGTTGCATTTATTTGGCATCATGTAAGCTCAACATTCCACTACCACGCCATCCAGCTTGGTGGGAAATGTTTAGTGTGAGCGAAGAATCGGTACACGAAATTGCCTTGTGTTTACTGCGTTTATATGCTCGTCCAAAGGTAGATGTTGGAAAACTTGAGTCAATATTAGCTCAACTCAGGAAATCCCAAGCAGAAGCAAAGGAACGAGAAAATGAGCTCAAAAAACAACAGACAGTAACAACATCTCCAAGTACCCGATCCGACCACAGTTTCGGTTATATCTCACCTCCAAATCATTTATCGAAATCCAAAATTCAAAACAAGTCTAATGGAAATAAAAAGCCAGTAGACATTAAAGTTGAACCGGAAGATTCTAATATTACTTATCCTTCAAACTCGGTTTTAGCAAATGCCTTAGCTAATGCCAAAGCAGTCGCAGCGACGATTACGGCATCAAAATCTGGCATGACCACTGATGAGTTTTCAAAGCTTGGTAATGACTCGTCAATTATTCCACATAAATGCGAACTAAGTGGAGAACCAGTTTCACCAGAATCTGCGGAAAAGTTGGCTGAATCTAATCAAACAGATAATATATCCGACGTTTCGAATAAAAAGCCTGATAGGTAAGTTTCTCCAATATATATTAGTGAAATCTTTTTAAGTAGTTGCTGCTCAACAAGCACTTTCACCCCACGCTACCTAATGATATCCAGTTGATACTCCAGTGTCTCGTTTTATAAGTATATATAGTTATCTATTTTTTAGCTACTCAACTGGACCATTGGAGTTGGGTGATCATTTTACATTCTGTGACAGCCTCACATGAATCCTAATGTTTTCTAACTAACGTTGCTGCTAATTGGGTCACAATTACGCACGTTGATAGGATTTCAATGTACAACCTACATTTGTTGATGTCAAGTATGCGGTGAAAGTCTAGATTTTTTGATAGGTCTATTATTATTAGTCGATGAGTTTGTGAGCCTACATGGACTTTTGTATAAACCGTGTGTTTCCACTCTGCGTGCCGTTAGCTCAGAATAGTTTATATGTATAATTAATAATAAGTTTGTTGCTAAACTTTTCTCTTAAATTCAATTGTTTTACTGGGTGATTCTTAATTTTTTCACCATAAAATATACTATTAACAATGAAATTGACGTTATCGGTTATAGGTAATCTTCATTGTTTAAATTACTTGATATTGCTGCATCCAAAATCTTGAATTATGTAAACAAAAATTTTCACTTGGCTTTTAGAATTTAATTAGATGCACAAACTCACAAAAATTTTGAAGTGGTAACTTTGTTTCGTGCAAGAATTAATATTGAGTTTAGTTCGAAAATGTACGTGCTGAAAAATACGATTTATAACAGATGATATTAATGAGGTTCTTTTAATGTAAATCATAGTGATTCAAAAACTCACGTCAATCATCTTGTTGGAGTTTTAACTAGGGTTAAAACTAACATATCTGCATACTAAATGCATTCAAATTGCAAGTAACTTTCTAATCTTATAAATCTAGAGGGTGTTGTGTGGGCTTGAACCACGGCATCTGCTCTTTGCCCGAATGATGCTATAACGTTTTTGCCGCAGCTAGAAACTGAGAAGTAACTTTTCTGCTTTTAAATGAAAATCTATGTTTGTAGTATCTTGTTGAATAATCGGAAATTACCTATTGTTTAGACCCGCACAAGAAAATCCTGAGACCAAACGACGACCAATTATTCGACCAGCTGCTTACTCAAATATTCCTTCTCACACAGAATCAGACAAAAGGCATCGACATCACCGGCACAAATATTCATCTAAGAAGCATCATTACAATTCGATATCTCCATCATCTTCATCAACTGACCGAGAAATTGATCAGAACCGTTATAATTCAGTAAACATGATGACAAACAACTCCAAATCTCGTAATTACCGACAAAAATTAAATGATATATCATCCTCTGGCTCTGAAACAGGCGATAGTTCTTCGAGTCCTAACAGACACATGGTCACTGTGCACGACCGCAGAAAAAACTATAATAACAAACGTAAACATATCCCACGCTCCTCGTCAGAGGATTCCCAAACGTCTTCTCTCAGTGACGAACCTCGTTTTTCCCCATCCCACCATAATTTGGCAAAAACTAAACGTAGTCGTCGTCATTTATCACCACCCTATGCCTATCGAATCGATTATGAGAAGTCACATAAAAGCAAACATCGTTCATCATTGCGATCTGAACCAAATGGTGAAAGTGGTCGTATATTACGCGAGCACTCTAACCATCGTCTAGTTTCGAGTCGGCATCGTGATCATCACCGAAGGTAAATTGTACATATGAATGATTTAATTTTACCCTGTACAGAAATTTTATGAGTATTAACTTTTTTCGCTGGTTGCCTGTACGGTGTGATTGATAAATTATTTACCAGATTGCAATAAATTATTTGCACTATCTCATCGTTTTGTGATGTTTTACATATTTTCAATTCTTGATTAAAAGATGCTATTCAAAAGCGGATGATACTCAAAAAAAAAACTATATTTCTTTTGCGCTACAAACTTGGTAAAAAAAATTGTATATAATGTTTAACACAGAATTAATTTTTCTTACTCTATTAGTCGAAGTTTCAAGTTGAACCCACTGTACTTTTCTTTAATTGATTCTGATAACGTATCAAATATTGATTGATATGCTTTTCTCCAACTATCATCGGGTGGATGCGCAAGTTTTGTTATAAGTCTGTCAAGAAGTATAAGTACCGAGCGAATTCGCTCCAAGTTTGTATTCACCAGAGAGCAAAGATAATTGGTCAAAATTTGTATATCTTCGTTTTGGGGCACTGAAAATGAAAAAAAAAAACAACTTTTTTTATTGATCAGTAATGTAATAAATGCTATTGCTAATATATTTATCCCTGTACGTCTTTTATTGTTTGAACCTTTAGTGTATTTTTTCTGTATTCATATAGTGAAGAAATCGGTCGTAAGTATAAGGATTTGTCGTTTCACAATCAATCAGTTTATGAGTGTTATTTGTGCCGACTTGATATTCGTACTCAGTGTTTGAAACCTGTCTAAAGATGTGTGATGCTACTACTTCCGTAGTGTGATGCTAAACTGAATATCAACCAAAAGTAATAACTATTTTTTAGTTAAGAATGACTATTATTTACCTGCTTCACTAGTTATCCAATCACCGAAGATCTGTTGAAGTTCCGTTAGCGTTTTGTTAGTAAACAAGCCACTCGGGTCTTCCATTGCCTGTGTTAAACAACCAGCTTCTGGCATCTCAGGCTTCGCAGAGTTCATAGAAATAGATGTACCTGTGTTTTCCTGGCCATATTTACAATCTGACTCTCGAAGACATGCTGCCTTACCTACTGTTACTTTTTCTTCCTCACCCACGCGCTTTGTTCGTAACCTTCTACAATTTACTGATATATTTTTTTGTTTTACTGGAGTTGTGATGGACATATAATTTGAATTGCATGACTAAAAAAAGATCAGAATAATTGTGCACAATTAGATCATGACTTTCTAAAAACAACTTTAAATTAAAAAGTTGATGGGCGTATGATATTGATGATAAAAAGATAGCAGCACATTAAAAGTAGTGCACCACCTTAGTTTTTATATCTTTTTTCGTGTTAGGCGCAAGTACTGTAAACCTCTTTGATCTGATTGATTATGACATTGAACATTTATTAGTTCACAGTTAATTAATGTTAATTTGATCTAGATAGTGTTATTGTTTTTGACGGATAAAAGTTTATCATGACAATTTTCAAACAGTTTTGATTTCTGTTACTTACCGTCACATTTTTCTGTATTCCAAGTGTTTGGTTAGTGTTATTTCTATTCTGTAAATGTCCCGATAGATTGCAATCAATTGGAATGTCTTTCTCTATATCTGCGGTATTAAGTTCTTGATCTAGTCGGTCTTGATTGACAGTCACACTAAAGGTTGCAGATGAACAAACAGAAAATATCCAAGTTTATGCATCAATAAGGAACATGTGGCATTGAACACGTATCACTGTTTCGTGACAGTAGTGGTTATGTACTTTTTCTCAAGTATATCTAGTGATCTCGTAAAAATCATCAAAAATTATGTACATTGAGTAACAATCTCTACAGATATACTAATCTCGGATAGCTATTCTGACAACGATCGTTTCATTTCAGTGCAGTCCAGTGTTATTACAGAATATGTATATTTGTTATATTGTAATCTATGACATAAACACTAGCTGGACCTTACTTTTTAATTTATGGAAGTAATCGATGTGAATACTACAATTGTACTTGCTCCATAAATCATTAAAATCTTAGTCACATGAATAATGAATGAATGTTCTTTTTTTTAATAAAAAGGAGATGCAACCTAGTTATTGGACTTTTGAGCCACGGTTAATAATAATGCACGCTGAAACATCGTTTCATTAGTTAAATGCTAACACATTTAGGCAAGATCTCCACATAGATTCTATTTCTTCAACGCTATTCCGACAAGGAGACTAAAGTTTTCGGATATGGTTGTTTGAAACAAACTAATTATTGTTATTCTTTTATGGGTTTATAAACATAAATAAGTTAGAAGGATCATGAAGCCATATAATGTAGTGCATATTAGTCAACAGTTAAATTTTCAACCACCATTTGACTTTTTTAGTTTTGCAATATCGTTACTTCCCAAGAGGTCTTTTAATCGAAGTTATTACCTTTATTATGAAGTAATTTGGTTAGGGCAATTTATATTCAGTTTTATTCGTGAGCATAAAAAGCGGATTTTTGTCATCTGAATATAAATGTACAGCATTACTAGCAAATTAGTTTTGAGTCCACACGTTTAGGTTAGATCACTTGGAAAAGAGGATAAGATATAGTCGTCCATGTACTGGATTTTAGGTATGTATAAAATGATTGGCAAAGTAATAATACCAACCTAATCTGTTGACATGGAGAGTTTATCAAGTTGTTTGCTTTTGACTGATTATCATTTCTGACTGTTTGATTGTTGGTACATGGGCTCATAATCTTCAAAGAAGTAGTCTTTGAACCGGCACATTGTAGCTGATGAACTTGCAGTCCTATCTGTGTACAGAGTAAATAGAGTAAACTATATTTATCAAACATTAGGGAAAAAATTAACACACTGTTTACTAAGTGTACGAATGCTGTCTTTTAGTTAATATTTATGGCAAATGTAAGTACTACAAACATCTCTCAAGACAGGATGGTTAAGTGTGCAGTAAACAGAAGTATTCAAAACTACAATTCATGAGATCTTGTCTCCTATACCAAATATTTGTAGTAAAGCTTTTTCAAGAAGTTCTGAGGTAATCGATAACTATATTGGGTAACGCTTAGTCACATTGCTTAGATTTCGTGTATTATTCTGTGACTCTACTACCCATTTCGGTTGATGAGATTCCACCATGTTATTGGGTTTGAAAATTTGAGCCCATGATAAGCGTATGTGTGGGCTTAACTATAAATGTGGAACTACCGATTTATCAAAACAGAACACTAAGGTATTTTGCCTTATTTGTACATTCCTTTTTAAAGATTGAAAACGACCTGATACTTTCTTACTGTTTTGTTATAAACAGTCTTATGAGTAAATTTAGCAATAATGTGGTTTTATGCCTAATTTGATTAGCGGATGAAGCATACTTTCGACTATGTTGTTAAAAGCATGACGATTTTATTCTGACTTCCTCTGATCATGCAGTAGAAAAATGTTTCTTACTCCCTACAGTTGTTAGCACTTCATTCTTATTGTTCCTCACCATTGTGTTTGTATAGATCCTGTCAGCTCTGTATGCTGAACGTTAATTGGTGCTCTATGAATATTCGACATCTTGATTCATGAAAAAAATGAGCTACACTAACAAATTGTGTAAAGAGCAAAACCTGTTTTATTTATTATCACGTATTTTTATGAATTCGATTCTAAAATTTAAGATATTTTTCAGTCTGTTTTCACTGAGGGAAATCATCAATTTGGGGAACTCATTCCCATCTTTTATTCGGACTGCTTGTCCTGTTCATAAATCGTGAAGATGGATATCTGCAGATCCGTCCCCAAAATCTTGGTGAGTAAATACCACTTGCTATTGCTTTGTATACTGATTAATAACCCCTAATGTCTTGTCGTACACTGAATGTTGATCACATTAAAGAAATCTAAATAAAGTTACCGTGTTAATCTAAATAGTAATCACAACCTTTGTATCTTTAAAATTGAAATAATTATTTCTGTATAGACAAATATCTAGTAAAACTACTTCGGAAGTTTTTGGAGTTTCAATAGTTCTTATTCTACTTATTGATTATCATCAAACTTCTTTGAGTAAAATTTCGACTCGTTTTCAAAAATATGACAAACAGAATTTCGTACCGGATGTTACTTCTTGGACTGTTAACTTTGTACATGTACCTTTCAGACTGTTAATAATTCATTTCTGTCTTACTAAAAGGCGTATACATTAAAAATGCAGTCTATATTCAGACAAAGTTCCATGGAGAATTGTTTACTGTTTGTGGATGATAGTTCTTTTTAAAGTTACTTTTCTTGGGAAAGTTCAAATAAATATATTTCTGTTCGATTCTTTATCAAATAATTCAGGACTTCGATGGAAATTATAAGCTAAAATAAAATCTTAACGGATAGTTTTCTCGTTGTTACTAGAGTTAGAAGAATTTCCCTCCCTTTATCAAGGAAACAGCTATAAAATATACGTCCATGGTTTCATTCGATTGTGGAACATTTAGTACGAAGTAATAAGATTTTAAGGGTCAGAATCGCTACAGAAATCTAAAACGTCATGAATGTCAACTGAATCTAGGCATAGTTCCTGATTTCAGTACCGCAAATCAAAGTAACCAAAACTAACTAGCTGATAGACCTTAAACGAACTTAAACTTTTTCGTTAGGTAACCGATTGTCTTAAAATTAATCTCGGAAAACAATTTAAGGTAAAGTTTCTCCTTCATGCTGTAATGGTCGACTTTTTTCTGGTCTGCTTTGTTAGTATCAAAATTGCATGGATTGTGAAATCTGTTTTGGCTTGGGATATTAATGAGTTATGAGGTAAACTTCGCAATTTAGACAAACACAATGCTAAAGGTAAGTTTTATGAATTTTACTTTCAATTATATGCATTCATAGTGCAGAAAATATTTTATTAAATTTAATTGTATATTCATCTAAAATCAACACATCTACATACATTAGAAAGTTGCGAAATGTTTTGGTACTTTCAGTATACTTAAGTTTAAAGTATAGTAAACTCACTCCCCGTAAATCTTGTGGTTCAGGACACAGGCGATGCACTGCTTTTACTGCATATCGATAAAGGACTGTGGCTTCCGCTGTATGTTCAGTCATCTGTATAGTGTGGTTAGTTATTGAACATAAACCATGACCTGAATTAAAAAGTAAATGGCGAGAAATGATTAGTGTTTGTGTATCATACGAAAATCTATTCAATTAATAATTAACTGATATATAAGTCTCAAAACTGAGGTTTTGATTCGTTTGTATTTTGTAAATATCTTAGTCATCTTCCGACGTATATGGTTGGTGATCGATTTTTCGCGCAAACCTGCAATGAGAAACCTGCATCCGGTATAAGGAAGTGTTTTTATGGGAATGCGTTGTATGATCCTACGCTAGATACTAAATATAATTAGATTAGGAGGACTAAACTGTACAGCAGACCACGTCATTACACTTGACTCAATTATCCGATCAATGACCAGGCACCAGGTATAGGTCAGAACAAATGTCTGTTAAAATATACAACGCCAAACAGTCAATAGATAAAATCAATTTTACGTACGGAATAGTCTCTTACATTTTAGTGTAAACAGGTCTCTGTTTTCGCTCATCGACTAATCACGGCCTAATTCCACGTGACACATCAGGAAACCAGCCAACCATGTTATGAAGTGTATGAAACATTTTCTCAGGAATGTTAACGTACTTGTTTACATATATGTATGTACATTATTGACTAAAAAAGGTCCAAGATTTACCGAACGACTAATAATATTCATTTCTCACAGTTGGTTTGTCTTTCACAATCCAAATTTTCCAAATATCGTTCAATATATATTCGCTTTTCGGAAACAACTTTAGTTCAAGCGGTCGTTTTAAGTGTAATTATTTCTCAGCTGATCCATAATATTTGGTTTACAATCTTTAAACCCGGCTGATTTACCACACAGTTTAATTACTTTGTTATATGTGGCGTTAGTTCTAAGTCAAATGACATGTAATGGATATTTCCAGAAGTTTTATTCAGATAAATCAAAACGTAGCACTATATCCTTCATGAAATTAACTAACTTCAGATACTACTTATAGGGTACATTAAAAGACTATGGATAATTTATCTGTCTTCTTCACCGCCTATTTAACTTGAGTAGGAAGATTAGGGCGAATGATCACCAGTTCATTAAATACTGTCTTTATCTTGACGATCAATTTGTCGTTGCTTTTAAAATTGAAGATGTTAAACTGGTCGACCGTCTTAGACGGTAGTGACTTCGTGCGTAGACATTTAACAAATAGATTTTCAGATACTGAATATGTTCCAATACTTTCTGTAATAATTAGTAATAAATCTTTACGTACTTAACGTCTTTTAATTGTATTATTGGTAAATCAAACTGCAATATATGTTGTAAAAATGTGAGTAAATAATTTTCTTACTGTTGTAGTTTTTACTGACGCTTGATATATTTGTCGCTTTTTGCAAACGAAATTCAGTCAGTAACAACGCGCAACTTCGTACGTATGTACATCAGTTCGAGTTGCGCCATATAACTAGGTTTTTTGTAATGGTTCAAGTTATACGGTTTTCAGTTAACAAGAGTTTGTATATCTTATAGTCGAGTCAAGGAGTTTCGCGAAGTAAAAAAATAAAGTTTTTTTTTTAGTCAAAGGATGGGATGTTACGTCCGTGTATGAGTGAACTAAATTCTGTCAAAATATAAAAGCTCATTATAAAAATACACTAAGTACCACTTACCCATGTATTTTGCCGTCTGCACAGGAGCATTAGGAAGTCGTAGGTACAGCCTAACGGTTAATGATTTTCCTAAACAGCCGACATTCGTTGAATTTAATTTGATCTTTCGCATTCTAGAGCTCAATTCTTCACATAGTGAATGTACTAAAGCTTCTAATTCGGATTGCTAAAAGTTCAAGTAGAAACAGTTAATCTTTTTCATATCTAAGAAATATTTCAATCATGAATAAAATTTGGATCGTCAATTATATATTGTGTAAGTTCCAGAATTAGAAATAAATTCGTGATAGTCCACAATAAGTTGGTATTTATTATGTATATTTTGTGTTTCTGCTAGTCGACAGAGGTATTTACCAATCACTGACAGCAAATGCCATCAAAGAATTAGACTGAACATTATATGATCGGTGTTTAGAATCCTCAGTCGAGTTATCTCTGTGCTCTAACCGTAGACGTCCCTGAGTTCAGTGAACCTTAACTCTAAGCAATGTTGATAATACCAGTGAATATGTGAAGTAAGCAAAAAAAAGTAAGGAAACTATTTCAAATCTTGTTCTAACTGTTCAACTAAAAATACTGAATTGTTTACGTTCACTAATTAATCTAAAATATCACAACTTATTTTATTGCTCCTTCTTCAGAACTCAAAACGATCTGAGAATGTATTTAGTGTTACATGAATTTGATGTCGAGTTTAAGTTCGTAACAAAGACTAAAGTTATCTCTTTACTGGATACCATGTGATTAGATCACGAAATTTCTACACATTTGCCATACAAATTCTCTTTCATTTCAAAAAAAAATTTCTCAAACGAAACTAGATGCAGTGTGATTGATTACACAACTGCAATAATGTATAGTAGCCCCATTTTCATGAGAACTATTGTTTCTACAGTTTTTAAAGTGTGCCGTGCGTTTTGTATCAAAAGTTTTTTGTCTTGTTTGTAGATTATGAGAATCTCATGTCCATATTTCTTCTTGAAAAAATCATTGGGAAAATAGTAAAGAATTATGGGTTGGTGGTGACCGGCAAATTCCATCATCACTTTATGCTGGTACAAGATGAGATGTGCTAATACGGATAATATTTGATGGGATACACTAGCCAATCTAAAATGTCGGTTTCACTACGGTTTAAAATTTTTTTGTCTGAGACACAGGCATGATTTTTTTTTTGAAAGTTGTCACCATTTCTGTAGAATTGTTCTCATTCAGTTACAGCCGTTTTAGTAATGTCAAGATTGTGGATATCAACACAATATTAGTCACTCCGATGAAGTGAATTGTTACTGAATCATATGAATCTATTTACTTAATAGATTCTTTTAACCACTTAACAACTCAAAACATTCATAACAATTAGGAAGACGTGTTGATTAAGGTAAATGGTTTAAATAGCCTACAAATCGGGGACCGAACCTAATACCTACAATTATCACGGAAAGTATGTTATTATTAGACAACTGATTGACAATTTAGTCGTCCAGATATCGGGTTGCTATAGTGATCCAATCTTATTGCTAATACTGGTGACAATTTAATCCCATTAATAAGAGACATCCGTCTGGTACCGGAGCTAGTCGCTTGTAAGTACATGTTTAGTTAGTCAACTGTCGGTTTTTAGCTAGTTCTCCAGATTTTAAAAGTAAATAATGTAATAAGGTATTTTTCGATTAGAAAAACGAAACCGAATTCATTGCTCATTTATGTAAATTTGGTGTTAGTTTATGACTAAGCTAATTTTGACAAGGTTCATTCGCTGTATACTCATTGGTGGTAATTAGCTGAATACATACAGTAGCTTTAGTCTCTTTTGTGAAACCACAATTCCATACAGCAAGCAAAAAGAAACTTGTACATCTTCGATTGTAGAAAGTAGTTCAGATTATAAAATAGTTTAAATGCATGATTTACCTACTCCTGAAAAGGTTTCGGTTTCTAGTTAACATTAACTTATAAGTTGTAGGACAACAGGACTTTTCTCAACCACAGCACATGTTTTGTTTTATTTTCTCGTAAACTCGAATAAAATCTTTGAGATAGCAGCGTTTACGTAAATATTCATTAGTTTTATTAAGGTATGATGAATTACAACGAAAGGAACTAAATCAGTAACACTTATTCTCCTTTAATCTAATCGATAATAGATATTGTATTTTGTCGTTGTTATTTTGTTGCACATTAGCATTCAGATATAGTGTCCAGTTATCATTAAGTGATCAGCTTCACGAACGATTGCTACTACAATTGTCATCAATCTACTATCTTTGTTGATAAATCCACTTGTCTCTTATTTTTACCAGTACTCTCCTGTTAACATGTAGAAATTATGTACTTTTTCAACAAACTGATGTTTTTTTTTTGAGATTCATGTAGAAATGCATTGATCTAATAAATTTGCTAGGTTGTGATAAACTTTGTCTTTTCATTGTATTATTTTAAATATGTGTGAAACTTGTATGGTGTAATAAAAGTCTAAATTAAGGATACTCACTGAGTTTAATCGAATTCCATAATTCATCGATGCTGATACAGATTTATATTCTTTCTCGAATTGCAAACTATCTAAATCCTAAAATATTAAGAGATTTTACAGGGTGAAAGGATTTATTTGAATAATAAAAGGTAGTAAATAACGTAATATGGAGGAGCGATACCGAAAGTAATCACTTTTAGAACTATGAATCTAACTTAAACATGTCGGAATAATAAGCTGGCCTAAATAGGTTTTATACTGCCGTTATATTGAAGCTTCATATGGGAAAAACGTTAATGTGGATTTTATCATCCGCAGAAGTCTATGAAAAATCTTTGAATACCAGTCATAGCAGATTACTGTCGTTTAAAAGTAGATGAATCTGCGGAACATGCTGGAATTGTTAACTTAGTACGAACTCAGTAAAGTCTCATGACCGTTTTAACTTATGTTTTATGACTATAATTAATCAGCGCAAGCAACTAGTAGATTGAGATCATGAGTTAATGGTAAAGAAAATAATTTTCTTTGTGTCTTCGTAGCTGGAGGGAAACGACTGCCTAAATAGTCACTCAAAGTTTAAATCACAATCTTAGAAGCCTAGGAACTAGAATCTTGTTTCATGCTACCATTTATTTATCTGTACACAAGAGCCTTTGGCACCAACTACAAGTTTATCGTCACTGTTTCTTGGCCACTCATTTAAACAAAGCAGTGGTGAAGCCGGTAATACTTTTCAGCTAGAATTAAGATTTTTCAGATATTCCTAGTTGTCCATCAAAATAGTGTTCGAATTGTGTCTTTTAAAACGCAAGCAAAAATCTAGTTAATTTGACTGACCTTTCCGCGACAATTCATGTAAACTCGATTACCAGTTTTCTTGCCCAATAAATTTGTGATTTGGTTGTGAGAGACTTTAGACATTAGTTCACCACACGTTTTAGCATCGAATGCTTGAAATATTTTATCTGCTACGGATCTTCCGATACCTAAAATGTAAGAATATATTTCCTTGCAGTAAAGGTTCAACTGTAATATGTGAATCTAGTGAATATATGATTCATTGGCTACTAAAAAAAATCTTACTTGGGATCTCAGTGAGTGGTAGGTCACACAACCACTGGTACGCATCACCAGTTAACTCACATTCCGAGTGGAGTTCTAAATGTTCTGTGTTTTCTTCTGAAGAATACCACCTCCAGCTTTCTTTTTTCTTTAGTCTATCAGGTATTGGACAGGCACCTCCAGAGCGGCCAAGTAACCAATATTGTCCGTCGGGCTTGGCCTTCTTAGTCGCTAGACGTGCTAATAATTTGCTTGTACCGAACCCAATAGATGCTGTACATCCACCAGTAATGTCTTTTACTATTTCTCGTATATAACTACCCAAAACTAGTGGATTGATGATCTGATAGGTTACTTCCCAATTGCCATCACGGAGTGTCGGTTTGATCTCATTCCCATTTGAATGAATGAGTAGATCTGCACAGTCAGCATACAATTCATCACAGCTTACTGCTTGAATGTCTCGGGTAAAGCTTCAATAAAGAATAGACAAATAGAATTTTTAGACAGGATTTGTAATCGGTGGTTTCAGGATAACAGGAAACTTATGATCCAGGCACTTTCTACTTAACTTGCAAGGAAACGGTCGATACATTTATATACAAGGACTTCAGATATATATAGTACTGTAGTAAAAATTAGTGGAAAGAGCGATTATTATCTTTGAATGTGCTTTTCATTAGTGGTGTTAAACCAGTGAAAAAGTGCTCCGTCCTAGTTAGCAACTTATTATTATTGCTCAACTCAAATTGGTCGAACCCATGACCAGCTCACTGTCAAGATCTCATGGTGAGATATTCGGAATCCAGTAGTCCCCCATCAAAAGCGTGACAGTCATCCAATAATAACTGCCTTCTTTAGGTACAGTTCAATTCCGCTAACTGCACCGCTAGTTTCTCACCGAATGTATATTTGTGATTGAAGGCTTGTTAGTCGCATTACATGGAGGACACTACCAAAAAATACTCTGAGGACAGAAACGATAATTTGTAACTCTTTTAAGACTAAACACAACCAACTTACCGAGAAATGGTATTATATAGCAGCTCTGATACTGATTTGTAAGCTTCAAATTCATATGGTAAAACGATTAAATCTGAACATAGCTGTTTGGCTCTTCCCAGAAGCATGCCATTTTTCACTCCAGCCTATAAAGTATGGGAAGTGCCATGTAAAATAGATTGGGCACCAAAGAAATTAAACAGGATTTTTATACGGAAACCATGTTACACCTGACGTCAACCTTATCGGGAGACTTGATGATCCGAATGTTGCTTCTTTAGATGTAAATAAAATTGGTCTTTTCCTGGAACGATCATTTGTAAGCTTTCCACCTATTTTTGTGAAGTGTTTGTCAACACTAGCTAATATCTGAGATTTGGTAGATAGTTATGAAGATAAATAGAGATCCCATATATTCTAGTCTCAACATTTAATAAATAGCTTGAAGTTCTGTTGTGATTATAACGTTATTCATAGAATCCTCCATAGAGGTAGGATGAATCCTTCCTAGCTAACACATTGAAGGGGCTAGTTTAGAATATTCCAAATGATGCAAATGAGTATTTTAGACTTTGATTATTATACTTACTTGACGAGCAGCATATGAACAGGAAGCAACTTCAGACATAGATTCCGTCTGTCTATAACAGTAAGTAAATAAGATATGGATTTGGTTACAATATATTTCGCAATAGTTTCATGCTATAAATATTTATTCTCAACGCATGGGTATATAAGGTTTTAGATCTTTATGGCATAAATCGAATAATTAATCAAATAAGTGGTTGAAGAACTAAGAAGTGGAGAGCCATAACATAGGCGGTGTGTATGGTTTACTATCCCTCTTGAAATGTGTTCATGAGACCACAGGTCATGAGGCCTTTATAAGAAGAGATTTCCTCACTAAATATAAGTGATGGAATCGTCCCTTATCACAAAGTAAGCGTACGACAGCTGACACAAATAGCGTATGAATATAAGAGACTGTACCGAATAGAAAAGAAACTTAGTTTTTATTATAACCACAACTACTTAAGATTTGGGGGTTCAGTTGAAACTGAGTTAGTGACATCAGTCGAAGCCAATTATACTTGGCATGGGTACCACATCCTGTGAACTACTGAATCAAGTTTACTTGCCAGTAGGTGGAAAAATAAGTAACGAGAATAAATTATATGAAATTAATTCTAAGAGTTCAGAATACAACTTACTTATTACTAATCCCAAGATCGTTATTTGGGCCACGTGAACCCTTCGCATGGGTGATCGCAACCGGCTTGTCTATTAAGAAACGCAATAAATAACATCAATCGAAATAATGGTTAACAAGTCATAATGAATTTAGATTTTAGTACGCTCCAGGTTTCAGTAAAATATGTAAATTCAAAGGTTGAGAATTGACTCGATTACTTCTATTTCTTGATAGCTATAAGTATTTGGATGGCATAATGGGAAGACGAAGATTATCAAAACTAAATGATATATTAGCACAATATATTTGGAACAATCTGATCACACAAATAATTGTTAAGATCATTTACATATGAAAAATAAAAAGTCAACGAAGGTTAAGAAAACTAATGTGAAACACCGCGCTGGATAAAATAACACAATATATTATGCACTAAATAATTACTGAATGCGAAGTTGCAAAATGTAATCTCTGAAGGTTGGTGAAATTCGTACAATCGTGTCAAGTTTCCATTGGTGATTTGTAAATCTTTTCAGGTAAGTATGCTATGATATTAAAAATTCCCTATCACTTTCTATTTGATTAGTTGAAATTAACCGAATACCTTGATTAATGAACACTTGTATCTTCTTCATCAGTTGAGGTGGTCGGGACATGTGCTGCGTATGCCTAACCACCGACTGCCTCGAAGAGCTTTGTTTTGTAGTGTTGGAATAGGTTGGAAGAAAGTTAGGGGCGGCCAAACCAAAACATGGCAGCAATCCATGAAGTCATTGACAAGTGGACTGAGCCATGTCGGTAGTTGTCGACTACCTGGTTGGGGTCCGCGAGATGATAATAATCGATGGTTAGTGACCTTGAATGACATGGCTCAAAATCGTTCGCAATGGCGCCGGTGCATTTATTCTTTGTGTTCTCTCAAATCCTAATCTTCTAGATTCTTCAACGCCTCTAGTTTTGACTTTCTAAACTTTTCTCACTGAATCATACTTGTTGAATAATATCTTCTAATCCTAACCTTTCCGATTACTTCTAATACCTTTACTACCTCTTCTACTATCGGATTTGAATCGACAATTATATCTCTGTGCTGATGTGGTATGGCGACATGAACTGATGTACTCACGTACAAAGTTCTACGTTGCATCTGACTGACTGACTTGTATCTTCTGGATGATGGGTTTAGTAGTTCTTCAAGTTTCCTTCCCATACAGTAGAAGCGTCTTCAGATTTGTATTGAAAATTATGACTTTGGTGCCGGCTGAAAGTTGTTTCAAGTTCCAGATGCTCTCCGATTGTAGAAATACTGGCCTTGCTTTGCCGATCCATGCCTTAACATCTGCATCAGATCCACCCTGTTTATCAGTGATGCTGCCCAGAGATGTCAAGGCTTCTACATCGCCCAAAGTTTCTCCGTCACGTGTAATCTGGTTGGTGTATGTTGTGCCAGATCGGAGGATCTTACTTTTTTTCTTGTGTATATTGAAACCTACTACTGCAGAGGCTGCCGCTGCACTGTCCGTCTTCATCTACATTTTTATTGTGAGTGGAATAGGAGGGTTAGACCATCGGTGACGTCCAGATCACCAAACTGCATCCCAGTTGTCCACTGTATCCCGTGCTTCTTGTGAGATGTGAACATCTTCGTAATCCAATCAACTATCAGAAGAAAAAGAAAGGTTGGAAGTAAGCAACTTTCTCTGACACCCGTTTTCACTTGAAATGGATATGTTAGCTGTCCTCCATGCAATTTTGCAGCTTAATCCATCATAAGAATTCCGTATGTTGTCGACCGTCTTCTCAGTTACACCATAGTGTTGAAGAGGCCTTCATAGTGTCATCCTGTCCACGCAACCAAATTCCTTCTCGTAGTCAAAGAAGTTTATATATAGTGATGAATTCCATTCATTTGATTGTTCCACAATTATCCATAGTGTTGCATGCTATTCGATCGGTACACAACTGATTCTTACGAGCTCTAGACTGATGATCTGGAAGTTGGGCGTCTACTTTAACTGGCATTGATATTACAATGATATCTCTGTAGTTCTCATACTTGTTAAGATCTCCTTTCTTTGCTATATAGATGACGTGTCCTTTTCAGTCTGTTGGTTCGCTTACTTTCTCCCAAATCTTGCTGAAGAGAGCGTGGAATATCTTTGCAGATACTGATTTACCTGATTCGAATGACTCAGCTGGCATGGTGTCTGAAACTGCTCTTTCCCGCTAATGATTTGTCCGATGGCCATGCTGATTTCTTCGATTTCTGATGGGTCAACATCAATTAGGTTTGTAGGTGCTGCTAAAGAGGCTGGTGGGTTAAGTGGGGCCGGTCTACTCAAGAGTTTTTCGAAGTGCTCCACACGCCTGTTTCTTTGTTATTGAATATCAGTGATTGGGTTGGACTTCCAAGTTCTTCGTGGTTCAGTCTAGTTTACTATATTTTCCAGCGAGCTTCTTCGTTTTATCATGTGGCTGTCTGCCGTTTTATTCCCTCGTAGATTTTTCTGCTTTCATTGTTAGACCTTCCATATATTTTCGCTTATCGGCTTCACTGCTCCTTTTCACTTTCTTGTTTGCTTCTGTGTATTTGGCGTGTGCCTTGACTTTCTCTGCTCTTGTTCGGTGGAACTGAATGCTACTTTCCTGTTCTTCCTTTCTTGAATCGTATCCAGAGTGTGAACAGGGATCCGGTCCTTGTAGTGGTGGTTTTTGTCAACCAAAACCTCATGACACGCTGAAGTTATAGCTTCTTTGATCCCTTTCTTGTGTTTCTCTATGATAGTTTCCGCTTCATTGAGTAGGTCGTGAAATTCTTGAAACTTGTTGCTGAGGGCTATCTTGAACCCGTTAGGTTCGCTAATAGTCCAAAAGTTGTATCAAATTTTTGTATTGCTGCACGTCTAGTGCTTCTTGAGTTCCAGTTTCATCTTGTCCACTACCAAGAGGTGATATAAAGCTGTCAGCTACTTTCTTTTTTGTCACGTTCTTAATTATCCTTGATGAAGATGTGGTTGACTTAGTTTTCTATAGTGTGTGGTTCAGTAAACTCCATGTAACTTTGTGAATACGTTTGCGTGGGAATATGGTTCAGCCTATGACCATTTTGTTGAAGACATATGAAGTTGCGAATCTTCCACTGTTTTCGTTCCTTTCTCCCAGTTTTTGTCATACCGTAATGTCTCATATCCGGTGCCGTCCATTTAAGGATTCATAGTGCGATTTAAACCTTTCCATCGCTAATAAGTAAGCTCTTTAATTCCCGATGGATTTCACTGGATGTAGTAATGATGTATAAGATGTCGACAAGAACATTCGCACCACAAAACAGATGCATTTAGAAAGATTAAGTTTTAACTATAAATGAAAAAATAAGGCCCGTCTTTGACTCCATAGTAAACGAACTACATCTGTGGTGCGCGCTACTTATAAGTAGTATATGACGCGAGTGTAAACGTAATGTCTGGCAGCAGAAGATGGGGGAATATCAAGAAAGGAAGAGTGGGAACACAGTGGAATTCGTATGAAACGCATGAATAGTGAGTGAAATGTCAGACAATGGATTGAAGATTTGCAAATTAACCGTTTACGATGTGGTTTTCCTATTTTAATGAGTAACTCTGTAATTTTCGTTAAATACAATTCGGTTGCCCTCACCTGTGTTCTCCTTCACTACACATCTATTCAACTTCTTATATACTCTGTCGATTTAACACATTTTCATTTTCAACATTGTAGAATCAGGAAATACTGACACAATTTATTGTACTTGCTGTGCATACGGAAAAGGGATTCACTTTTTCTATGACTTTACGTTTTTGAAAGCTTAACATTGGTATTATGGACATTATTATAGAATATAAGTGAGAATTTTAGAACGATTCTATCATTAACAGATTTTTGTGTTTTCGGCGTATTGTTTATGATAAATGATTTTCAAAAGAATTAAATCGAAGTTTACTGTTAAGTTGACCTCTGACCATATGATTTATTGACCACATTATTATGAATTATGATTCATGCTAGTGTTTATTGACTTTCAGTTGACCTGAATGTCATGTTTCCATAAATTTATTAAAACGTTTGAACATTCTATATTAAGAGCAAAAAATATCAATGAATTTCTAAGAGTATGATATTTAAATCAACCTACAATCAAAATCTGACAGGTTCGTTTCTTTTTTCAATGTGATTCGAAATGACAATAAAAACATTTTGTTACGTATGCACGTAAACATGTCAATTTGTGATATGCTTGAACCACTATGAGTTTACCTCAGTCGGAAATGAGAGCGAGGATCGAAGATCCGGCGACACGACATGCTACTCTAATCCGAATGTCCCGAACCCCCATTGTATGAAAGAAAAAGACTTGATATGAAGTAGAACCTGTATTCTACAAACATCCAGAAAGTACGAGGTCCGAGTCCAGAGGAGAATCAGGATCCCGGACTAGGGATCCGAGTCCGGGTCATAAAACCTTACAGATCATGAGTATTTACACAGTCAGGTCGAATAGAGAACAACATTGAAGTACGTGACATTGATAGCTAGGACGACCATAATATTGATCAGTAGGAATTAATCAATAGAATTAGACTTAAAAAATTAAATTCTCTTAGGATATTTAATGTATATTCTAACACATAAATCTTTAACAAAAAACACAATCAAACCGAGAAAACTTGACATCACTATACACACACACACACAATTAAGCTACAAATGGTTTACAGCATTATGTAAGTCGTTTGTATAAAACTGTGGTGATAGCATCCTCCTGTATTGAAAATGATTCAATAGATAGATAGTTCAATATTTGTATGATATTTTCTACAACTTGAATGTTTAAATGAAGTAAAGATTTTTCAATTCTGAAATAAATAATATAATATTTGGTTCTAGTTTAGGTCAACTGCTGCTATAAATAAAAATGAAAATATTTATAAAATCATAATTATTATTTTAATGAGAGTAAATTTTCGTTTGTCTAATAACAAACATACTCATCACTTGAAGGAAGATCTGAGACTAGTAAAAAAACAGTAAAAAACAGATTACAAATTCCACAAAGCCATCAGTTTGAGAAATTGTAAATATTCTTGGCAAATGTTACTCAGAGAATAATAAGAGGTGAACTAGTGGAGGAATAAATATGAAGTAGTATAAGTTAAATCTGTCTACGCTACCAAGAAAGTATGCCGTGATCACTTGATTTATTATTAAATAGATGCTACAATTTTGTCTAAACACGTTTTTGAATCCTAATCTGATTTAAAGCAGTCAACTCTTGTATAGAGAACAGCAATTAAAGTAAGCTATTAAATATTGACGACTTAGTGCACTGAAATGATGTTTTATAACTAATCAATGTTGAAAATATAAAAATTTATATAAAATGACTTGTCAACATAAGTACGATATATATCTTTGATTTCGATGCCCTAATACGATCGAGAGTGGGAAGAGTCCGCTCTTCATCTTGAAATGATCTCGCATGACTACGGGTATACAGGTAATGCCAGGGAAGTACTGCTCACTGTCTTCTCGTGATGAGAGTATTTTAGAAATTGAGAGGACGTAAACAGGATGTTTGGTGCCTAAACCAGATTGGAGGGTATCGAGGATCTATCTAGGAAAGTTGGAAAATCGTGATTCTAAACCACTTGTATACATGGGCTTCACAATCCTGAAGGAACCCATTGTTAGTCACCAGTCACCATGGGACCGTATCTCCTGATGTCGCTCCACTGCCTGGTGGATTAGAACTGTAGGTCAAAGGCGCGGCGAATGGCCTCCTACGAAAAGCACTTGTATTTGGGTAGTATCCCAACCCCACAAACATTTTAAAAACTCATGTGGAGCACTGATATTTAGGTACCCTTTTATCCATTCAACTAATAAATGATTTTAATTGATATAGTTTTGCAGAAATATGTAAACAGATTACGAATGGTTCACCTACATTGACGATGGTGGTGTCCGTCAGGGATGTGCACTTTCTCCGTTCTTGTTTAATTTTGCCATAGACATGCTTCTAGACATAACATCATCTTCGTCTGAATTTTCAGGAGTAATCCTTTTACTAGAGGATTCATTGCTTAACTTAGAATATGCCGAAGACATGACCAGTCAGAGTAGAAGATATTAGTAGGTTTCTGGTTTTCGATCATAGGTAAGCAGTGCTATAGTCAGGAAACGAGTACTAGGTAAGGATGGCAAATCAGCTGATGAAGTATCGAAACTTCTTCAGTTGAGGTGGTTGGGACATGTGCTACGTATGCCCAACCACCGACTACCTCGTCGAGCTATCTTCTGCGATGTAGGAATAGGAAGGTGGGGATGGCCAGACCAAAACATGGCAGAAATCCATGAAGTCACTGACAAGTGGACTGAGTCATGTTGGTAGGTGTCGACTACATGGTTGGGGTCCGCGAGATGATAGTAACGGATGGTTAGAGACCCTGAATGACATGGCTCAAAACCGTTTGTAGTGGTGCAGGTGGATTTATTCACTGTGTTCTCTCAAACCCTAACCTTCTGAGTTCCTCATCACTTTATCTTTTTAAGTTTATTTCACTAGATTCTACTTCTTGAATAATATCTTTGAACCTTAATCTCTACGATCACTGCTACCACTTCTACTACCTCTACTACTATGGGATTTGAAGTGACAACTGCATCTCTGTGCCATTGTGGTATGGCAACTTGAACTGATGTACTTACGCACGTACGTACGAAGTTCAACGTTAATGTTGATTAACTGATCACCTAAATTTTAAAAGGTATACAGAATAAATGTAAATACAGAAAGTTATAATAGATTAATTACCTTTAAGTTCTGGTCTACTTCGAAGACTGACAGATACAAAGAAACAATCCATATCAATATGAAATATAATTTGAGGTTTTGCTGGTTTTGATGATGGTGGTGCATACGAATTCGATTCTTTACAATCAATTAATCGTGCATGTAATTCAATCATTTTGTGTTCATGCGTTGATTCACTTAACATTCGATTATGCCATTCCATACCTAAATCACAATTGTGTTCAGGATTTTCACGCATTTGTTTCACTAAATCATGTAAATCTTTAGCCCAAGAAGAAAGATGATGTAAACGTGAACGTGAATAAAATGTAGCTAATTTTTGATCTAATGATGCTTTTAATGAAGTTTGTTGTATTGATGTTTGAAGAGCAGAAGATGAATGTATCTAGAAATAGAATAGTACGAATTAATTCATCTTCATAAATTTAAGAACAGAACAGTTGATGTAGATGTGTATATTCATCTCGTTACACTGTGATTAAGTTAGTAGTATTTGGATACGTGGATCATTTACAAAACTAAAGGAATCATTAGATCCCATTATTGTTTAGGATAACGGCTTTCAGATTATGAATTTTTTTTCCTCACTAATTTACTGTAGGATATTAGTTTACAGTTCAATATAATGAAAAATATTTCACCGACAAGGCGTTGATTAAAATAAAACTAGAATCAAGATGATAGATGATTTCAGGAAGAAAAAACACAAGTCTGACTGTACTGTCCAACTGGTATAAAATAAATCTTTACATACAACTGTTTGATAATTACTCGGTTCTAATAAAATATGAATAAGTCATTATTGTATCCGGAATACTTCCACGGTGTAGGCAGCCGGGAAGTGACAACCGCCCTCATACCCGTAACAGCACGCGAGACCAAATTGGTCAAAATCAAATCCTTCCTACACCCCCTAGTACCTCTCTTATCTCCACGACTAACTCTTCTCACATTCCTTTATCACACTGCACAGCTAATGCAAACGATGTGATTTATTTTTTTGTGCTGATGGGGCATGGCAACCTAAACTGATGTACTTATGTACGAAGTTCTGCGTTGTATCTGTCTGTCTCTCTGTCTGTATACGGAATTAGTTTATGTGAAATAAAAGAAAAGTTCTAGCATGGTTTGTTTTAATGTAAATTAATCCTAATTGAGGCAATAACTTTATGATGAGTATACAGAGAAATATAAGTCAGTTAAAACGGTAAAGGAGAATCCATAGATAAGAATGAATTTTCTTAAAAAATAAACCATCACAGAGTAAACTCTGTGTAAAATCAAAGTATGGCCAATAAGGCATACACTTTATTAATTTTTTACTACTCAAGCCGAAAACAATCAATTAAGTTTGCAACTTTTGCTACAAGATGAATTTTTTTATATAACTGATGGTTTTAATTGAACCGACAGCAAAGAAGTCATTTTAGGGCAGAGTTTTGGGGGTTTGCGTTTTTACACATTTGAAATCATCAATCAATCATTGTTAAACCACCATTAGAAACCTGGAAGCACTGAACGGCCGTTTCGTCCTGGTATGGGACTCATCAGCAGTGCGCATCCACGACTCCTGCTCCTCGCAGGACTCGAACCCGGGACCTTCGGCATTGTAGGCGAACGCCTTACCATCGGACCACTGGGCCAGCATCCAAGAAATCATTGTAAAAAGATTGAAGCCAAAAAAAAACATAAAATTTATGAAAGCTAATAAAATGTAAATGAAGGATTCAAGGTGCATATAAACAACATTCATTCATTAATTAATTAAAGCGAACTGTAATTACTTTTCAGCATGAGATTCAATAAAAAAAAATGATCGATACATTTATCGAATAATAATTCAAAACAACGAATCATTTGAAGTAGTAAGTAGGTATTATGAATGAAAATTATTAAGATTGTTAATTTCAATGAAGATAGAGAAAATAGATGATTATTAACTTTGATGGATTTTTTAAAAATAATTAAATTCAAAGTATGTATGTTAATTACAGTAACTTACTTCATCTTTATGAATCGACTCAGCTGTTTTTTGAGAAGTATCATCCATAATAGGTTTATGGCTTAAAAGTTGTTTCAATGTAATTGGAGATTTTATTGGACTAATTTTTTGAATCATCATTGTATTTGAACTATCACCATATGTATCTGTCTTTATTGGAGTGTTTAGTGATAAACATTCATCAATACGCATTTGATGAATTGAAGTTTGTTTATTATTAGTTGAAAATGACGATTGATCATATGTACTGCATGAAGGTGTTTCTGTATTTCTAGTTGTAAAAATAAAATTTCAATTAAGAAGGATAGGTATTCATGAGATACTGCCAAAACAAGTTCAAATGCTAAAATCTATCTATCTACAGGTAAAGATGACATGTATAATACTTTACTTTACCTATAAGGAAGTGAATAAAGTTGTAGCTAAGATGTATATTGAATTCATTTGCTTTTTCATTGGGACAGATAACAAACTATGAGTTGATTACATATCTAATAGACTTTTATTGTTTTAGCTTAACTTGATTTTAAGTGAGCTTTATATTTTATTGATTATAATCTATTGATATTGCAGAAATGTGTGTTCACTTGGGTGTGACGTTACATTTTATATATGCGACTTGATGAAGAGTATAAAGAGCTAAGTTATTAACTAAAACTCACCGGGCTAGACTATGAAAAGCCCTACTGCTTAACCATCGTACTATCAGTCGATACAATTAGTTTCAGTTTATTTTAGAAAAATTCATTTATTATAAAACTATGGAATGATATAATTGATTCAATTAACTTCTTTAGAAACATGAAACCAGCCTTGTTCAGTTCAGCATTACGTCTTAAAAATTTGCAATGCATGTGTCAGTCAGTCAGCTAGAACGTAGAACTTCGTTCGCATGTACATCAGTTCAAGTTGCCATACCATGGTAGCAGAGAAATGCGATTGTCGATTTTAATCTCATAGTGGTAGAATTACGAGCAGTAATCGGAAAGATCAATTGTGGTCATACATAAGTGTTGGTAATTTTCTTCAGATGCGTCAATAAATACTGATTATTTCGAAAAAATGGAAGTTTCTTCATGCCGCGGTTTGGAATTTTTACCTGAAGGACGACTTTTGATCAGAAATATTTGAAGGACATTGTACTACAGTGCAATGAAACAACAAAGCAGCATATATAGTTAGCTAGCCATGTATGTACACGACGTACGTCGCACTTTGAAAATGTAAGGTATTTCTGGACGACTACAAGAAATTTGCACTCATTCTTTGGAAGTAGCCGTTGAGAATAGTTAAATATTTACACATCTGAGTTATTGTTTAAGTTTTAGTGATGGCTTTAAAAACAAGATCAATTTCAAGTAGATCAAATCATTCATCAATCAGACCATTGTAGACTGTAAGGATAGCGGATAACTATCAATATTTTTGTAGTTACTGATAAATGAAAAGCATTTGAAAGACAATAAGAGTGACATAGTTCAAGGTTTGCAAAATACATTGCTTTATAACCTCACTCAATGCAGATGTTGGATAGATGAACTTAATCTTTATAATCCTTGATTATTACTTCAAAATGCTAAAACTTATGGCAGCTGAAATTATTTCACTCAGTGCAATCGATTACAAGTGAAAAAAATTGATTTTCATGTAATTTATTGTATTATTATTCAACTAGTCTGATAATTACATTTCTTCTTTACCACTAGCTTAATCTCTCAGCTTAAGGTCAAGCAATATTCTAATGAAACTACATCTGGAGCCTTTCTAGGGTTGCAACCAGTCTCAACCAGGGATAAAGGAGGAGGGTCCGATATAGGGTCAACGATCCCATCCCGTAGAAATACACCTCGCTAAGAAAATTGCTGACCAGGAAAATAAATCGCTGGTCATCGGCCTAAACTCTATTCGGGGTAACAGACGTAAGTACGTAAACAAGTAACGATACTGACAAACTGATTTTAGTGAGTATTTATTTAAGTTTTTTGAAAAGAACCGCAAAAAATAGGCATAAAACTGCATTACAAACTGTAAGCGTGTAACTATTAGTTCAGAGAGATACATATATACTAAAATTATTTACACCCTAGTAAATTTATTCACATTGTTTGTACACTTAAATCTAATAATATAAATTTCATATTTTCATTTCCTGTTTATACAAATTGATATCTTCTAATCATGAAATATTCAATTGTTTTAACTGAGGTCAAGTTCAACAAAGAAGTCAGTGATAGATAAATGGTAGATTTTAGGATGATTACAATAAGCCCTACAGTTAAATTCATTTACTGAAGAGGAACAATTACGATGTATTTGATGAACTATGATATAACATAATATGCGAGATTTTTCATTAATGTATCAAACTGCTTCGGAATTGGATCGTATCTAGATTAAATAAAAGGACTGTCAAATTATAATTCTCACATTTCCACAGTAGTAAAAACACAGAACTAAAACAACATTGTTGGGGATGTTAGATCCTCAGAACTCGCTTGATTTCACGTTTGCGAGCATGGGCTGATCAGTTGACCTTGAGATTTCATTTCTCACCAGGAAAATCCTTGGCTGTGATTGGCTGCTGTGTATTTTAGTGTGCTATTTTCGTAACTGTCTTTGATGTATAAATAAACGAGAGTTGTGTGCTTGATTGTATTGTGATTGCCGGGTGTTTGTAGAATATACTTTCTACGCTTACAAAGCCTTTTTTCTTCAGCTTGGGATTCAAGGTAGCCTATCTGGACGCTGGTAATTGTCTCGTTCGCGTTTATCGACTAAGGTGAACTCGTAATAGCTTCAAGCGTACCGAGTGACGAACTTAACAAACATTCAAATCAATGTGACTGAGATGAATAGATATCTAGATATGAGTTGGTTTACATCACATATACATTCTAGTACACATACTGATCTTTATAGATTTACGATTGTTTGTATCGATTACTGATCGATTAGATCTTGAGCAAATTTCACTCATCGAGTAATATTCACCGATCAACAATTTTTCATATGAAAATAAAATTTACTACTGTCATACAATTAATTATCAATGTCATGGTAATAAAATGTGATAACCTCATCATAGTGTTTTATATTGAATTTAACAAAATTAGCGTTAATAATGACATGTTGTTTTGTGAAGAGAAGACGATTTGCTAAGAGTATGCACTGTTCAATTAACGTGTATTATTGCCTAGCAAGTTGTTAGTAATTATCAGAATAATGTAATCTAGTTTAATTCAAGTCTTCAACAGGGTGTTGTTAAACAGAATAGAAGACTCCGTTGACCTCAACTTCGAGATCAACAGGCCGGATTTCGTAAGGATCGATCGTGTACTGACCAAATTGCTACATTACGGATCATTGTGGAACAATCAATTGAATGGAACTCACCACTCTACATCAACTTCATCGACTACGAGAAAGCATTTGATAGCGTGGATAGGAAAACACTGTGGAGGCTTCTTCGACACTACGGTGTGCCTGAGAAAATAGTTAACATCATACGGAATTCTTATGATGGATTCAACTGCAAAATCGTACACGAAGGACAGCTAACATACTCTTTTGAGGTGAAGAGCGGTGTCAGGCAAGGTTGCTTACTCTCACCCTTTCTCTTTCTCCTGGTCATCGACTGGATTATGAAGACGTCAATATCTGGAGGGAAACACGGGATACAGTGAACAGCCAGGATGCAGCTGGACGATTTGAACTTCTCAGTTGATCTGGCTCTTCTATCGCACACGCAACAACAAATGCAAGAGAGGACAATTAGTGTAGCAGCAGCAGGTCTCAACATACATAAAGGGAAAAGCAAAACTCTCCGATGCAACACAACATGCCCTCATCAAAATACTGTGGACGGGGATGCCTTGGAGGACGTAAAAAGCTTTACATATATATGCAGCATCATTGACGACAAAAGTGGATCTGATGGAGATGTGAAGGCACGGATCGGCAAAGCAAGGGCTACATTTTTACAATTAAAGAACATCTGAAACTCAAAACAGCTATCAGGACATACCAAAGTCACAATTTTAAACACAAATGTAAAGACAATTGCACTGTTTCGGAAGGGGGGCTTTCAAATCTACGAAAGACATCATCCAGAAGATACAAGTATTCATCAACAGTTGTCTACGCAAAATACTTCGGATTCTTTGGCCAGACACCATCAGCAACAACCTACTGTGGGAGAGAACAAACCAGATTCCAGTGAAGGAGGAAATCAGGAAGAAGCGGTGGAAGTGGATAGGACACACAATGCGAAATGCACCCAACTACGTCACACGACATGTCCTTTCTTGGAACCCTCAAGGCAAAAGGAAAAGAGGAAGGCCAAGGAACACATTGCGCCGAGAAATAGAGAAAGATATGAGAGGAATGAACAAAAATTGGACAGAATTGGAAAGGGAAGCCCAGGACAGTGTTGGTTGGAGAAAACTGGTCGGCGGCCTATGCTCCATTAGGCATAACAGACGTAAGTACGTAAGTCAGTGATCTAACAAACCTTATCGATAGTTACAATGAATTTAGCTGGTCACTAATGTCTTTTTCTAATTTTCAGGAGAAGAGTGAATGATTTGAAAAACTAGAGAAATACCGAAAATCGTTCAATACTCTTTCAGACAATACTATATCGATTTGTTCGTCGCTTATTTATTTCTTTTCAAGTGTTCATACGTGCTGTTGAGTAACGACAAAAACGTTTCAATTAAAAATGTCAATCATCAGTAAGCAATGTGTATGATAATACACTAATGGTCAGTGTGCAGATAAGAAATATCTTAAACAAAATTCATTCTGTTTTACGATGACTGAAAGATTCAGTAAACGTAGATTGTAGTGAGTTTATTACGAGTGACCTCATTTAGTTTTATTGCTTATCGTTGATCATTTTATGAAGGTGGTCAGTGTTCAATTCTACCAAATACTACTAATGAGATTCACAAAATTCATATCAATATCTCTAATTCAGTGGACGTTTTAAATAGATCGATCAATTTGATTTTAGTTTGTATAACGGGATTACAGTATTCAGAGTAACACTACAGATCGGAGAGCACTGACTAGTCATTTCGTCTTGGTATGGAACCCTTCCACAGTTCATACTTATGAAGATATTGAGGCTCAGACACTAAAGCTTTCTCGTTCACCTAAACACTTTCAAAACCTTTTACAGTTTTAAATCACAAAACAAAATTACTAAACGGCCGACGAATTTCAAATAGATATTATCAAAACAACAGCTTTACAAGAAGATTTAACAAGCGTTTTATTCTCGAATAATAATATCAGTTGATTTATGATTAAGAATACATAGATATAACACGTATGTATGAGCAATGTTGGTTGAATCATCTCATTTCCACTCTTTAGTTTTCCGGTTCGAAACTCCTTCGACTACCTTAAGTTAGGCAGCCGAGTGTTATCAGTTGTTTCTTTCCACAAACAGTGTTTCTCAGAGCTGATTACATACTTCTGTATTTGGTGAATAATTCAAGTCATCGGTTGAATCGTAAGAATTTTTCTAGTTCTTTTTTCTATGGAAAGTATACAAAACAATTTATCTCTTGATGATCTAGACTTTTCTCCTAATTTCTTTTTAGTCCTCTGTTATTTTTCCAAAGAGTTATGGATTTTTCGTATGATGCTACTCATCGTTACATGTTTTATAAATGAACATTTATTGTATATGTATTTAAAGCATGTCTGTACAATAAACTGTACATTTCATAGTGAATAAAGTTGTCTACATAAATGTAATGACTATTATATAGAGTCCTTTCTTTAAGTCAACAGGTTAATAATCCATCAGTCAGTCAGTTAGTCAGTTACAACGTAGAACTTCGTACGTGCGTACATCAATTCAGGTTACAATAACACATTAGCTCAGAGATGCAATTGTCAGTTCAAATCCTATAGTGGTAAATATAGTAGAAGTATTTCATGTTGGTAGATGTAGACTACCAAGTTGGGGTCCGCGAGACGATAGTCACCAATGGTTAGAGACCTTGAATGACATGGCTCAAAATCGTTTGCAATGGCGCAAGTGCATCCATTCGTTGTGCTCTCTCAAATCCTAATCTTCTGGAATCGTCAGCACCTCTACCTTTGTCTTTCTAACCTTATCTCACTGAATTACACTTCTTGAATACTATCTTCAAACCTTAGTATTCTTCATTACCATTAATACCTCTACTATCTTTATCACTATGGGATTTGATTTGACATTTGCGTCTCTGTGCTAATGTGGTATGGCAACCTGAACTTATGTACATACGTACGAAGTTCTACGTTGCAACTGACTGACTGACTGAGTAGAAGTATTAGCCGTAATAGAGAAGACATTATTCAAGAAGTACAGTTCACTGAGATAACTTTAATAATCCATCTGAACACTACACCATACATCTACCTATTTTTAATTCTTTAAAGACACAATCAGTCTATCATTAAGTATTCATGAACTGTACAATGAAGTTAATATGCCAGATAATTTAAACAATTCCCCTTCATAAATTAATTATTAGCCACTGGTTTATGCATATATATACTCAACATAACTAAACTATCGTGATTACTTAGGTATAACTTTATGATGTAAAAAGTCTGATATATACCTAGTTCAATAATCTTAAATTTTAAGATCATTATATGTTTCTGCTTGTCGTATGCTAATACAACATACAACTATGATTATTTCACATTCATAAATGAAATAACAAATTAATCTAAGCTAAACCAACATTAGACACCTGGATTAGATAGATGTATTCACTTCTAGTTGTTGTTTCTAGTTTGAATTAAAATCTATTTTTTTTAGAATCATTTATATCACTTACATATTTGTACTTGAATCGTTATTCTCATTTACAACATTAGATGGTGAAACAGTTTTTAATCTATCAGAATCTAAAATTTACGAAAAAAAAAAATGAAAGAAATTAATGTAGCTTACAGAGCATGTCAAGATTCTCATAAATAAGTTATAAGTTTATTTCTTATGAAAAAATAACCTAGGTTTGAACCAACCACTCAGTGATTTTCTTTTGATTAATAAAAAAGTATATATATGTATATAGGCGTTTGCGCACAATACCGAATGTCCCTAGTTCGAATCCTGCGAGGTTCAGGAGTCGTGGATGCGCACTGCTGATTCCCGTACCAGGACGAAACGGTCGTCCAGTGCTTCCAGGTTTCTAATGGTGGTCTAACAATGATGATTTCAAATGTGTAAAAACACAAACCTCCAAAACTCTGCCTGAAAATATATGTATATATCGTAATAGTCTATGCTTCTCTGGATAATTGTTGATGAATAGCTGTAAGAAGTGTGGCGTTTTATGCAGATGATTTCTCATAAACAAAGTGCTATGTTTTTTGTATTCCTACTTTGCAAGTTGAAAGAGTAATTGAAGCTTTTCAATTGTACACTACGTCTGACAACATTAAATGCCTTGTAATGCCTTATTTATTCTTTGTTTATACCCAGGATAATGTTGAGCATATCTTGGTAGCCAAATAGTAAGGAGTTTGAATCGATTTAAGTAGTAATTTTAGTAATAAGACTATTAATTCGAAAGCTTTGATGAGAATTCAGCACCTCGTCAACTTTTTTAAACTTTCAGATATATTGTCGATTCACTTTTAAAATACTTGAGCTTTTAATTGCTGTTAAGGTTTTCTAGAGCTAATTTTTCTGATATCAATTGCATGGAAAGTTATCGACAATCAACTTCATATCTTCAACCATCTTCACATTATTAACACCTCTACTGATCACACTATAATTAGCTCAGGTGTGAGACTCCACTAAGCGTCTGGTATTCGATATCATAATTCATCCGAACACACAGTTTAAAATACTAAAATACTACAATAAATGCTTAAGGACACTTCAAACAGTATTTGATTGATCTTGTCAAGTGGTTGAGTGAAATAAACAACTTTTAATCCATTTACAGTGGTACAAATAAACGCTAAATTATGAAGCAATTGTGCTTACAACTAAAACGAATTGTGACAAGAACGTGTCATTAACAAAACTGTAGCAAACAACTATCATCACGTATTTATTATAATATTTTTGATCAGTTCAAGTCTTTGTACTTCACGTGTGAAGTCAGCAGCTATGATAACTAATACGAAAGGTTTTGCAACTTATTAAAAAGGTCTTTCATAAAATTCATGAAATACTGTGCTGAAAGTAGTATTGTGGTGTGTGCTACTTATACGAACGATATAAGTAGTATAAGAAAGGACGTGATAAGAAGTCTCACGGTCAGAAGTGGAAAACAGAAAGCAAATGGAGCAAAAGCAAGAAATAAATAGAGTACCAACAGGAAGTAGAGGAAGCAACAGCGGGAATAGAAGAAGAATGGAGCGTTGGAAGTCACGACTCAAAGATGGTGTGCAAATAGAGTATTCAACGTAATGGTGTCGTTTTTAATTAAAAGCGCCTGCCTCAGTCTTCTCGGTATGGATGAATGTTTAAGTGAAGATTACAAATATATTTCGGGCTGGCTGCGAAGTTGCTCAAGTGGGATGCAAAAAAAAGACTATCAATAACTGAGATCAAACTATTAAGTCTTCATTACACCTTTTGACTTAGTTTTTTTTCTATTGAAATCATGAATCAGCCAATGCTAGATCACCATTGGAAACCTGCGACTACTGGATGGCCGTTTCGTCCTACAGTGAGACTGATCGGCAGTGCACATCTAAAACCTTCACATTCAGGGATCAAATCCAGGACCTCCAGTCTCGCACGCGAACGCTCAACCTCTGGACCATTGCTAAACCTTTTAATCAAATAAAGCTTGCAAAAGAAGTCTTAAAACTAAACAAACTGTTTTGTGACAAATCACTAAGTTTTCACGCAGATCTTGAATGCTTGAGCAATGATATGGTGTTATTTAGTGAATTAGAACAATGTAGGAATCGTAGTATGCTGTTTATGTTGCAAAAGAATTCATCTATAAATATTTGATGATGAAAATAATTTTCAATATTGGTATAATAATTGAATCGGATTGATTTTTTGGATAATTACGTCCATATGGGCATTATTCTACAGGAAAACTATCTGAGATCGGATTTTGCTGCATAGATCTATCAGTGTCAGTCAGTCAGATGCAACCTAGAACTTCGTACGTAAGTACATCAGTTCATGTTGCCATACCACATCAGCACAGAGATATAATTGTCAATTCAAATCCAATAGTAGTAGAGGTAGTAAAGGTATTCGAAGTAATCGGAGAGGTTAGGATTAGAAGATATTCAAGAAATATGATTCAGCCAGAAAAGTTTAGAAAGTCATAACTAGAGGGGTTGAAAAATCCAGAAGATTGGGATTTGAGAAAACATAAAGAATAAATGCACCGGTGCCAATGCGAACGATTTTGAGTCATGTCATTCAGGGTCTCTAACCATCGATTATTATCATCTATCAGTGTAAAACAAATCATCAACATAATCTTTAAAATAATTTTTTCCTAGTCGATGAAACTTCCCCATGAAAACTGAAGATTGAAGACGACTATATAAAACTTCCCATTGATAACTATTTTATGTCAAATATTATCAAGGATAGACATACTTGTATCATCTATGGGGTTCTCAGGCACAATTTTCAGAGTTTTCTGTCCAGTTCCAGAACGATGAGTTGGATAGAGCTGATAACTTTGCCATGGTAAAAGCTTACCAGCTTCAATACTGAAAATACCAAATGATTGTCATGGAAAAACTTTATTGATGGGACAGATCTTGACTTCTTAAATTAAAACATTTATCCACTGATTTAATGGAACTCATTAAAGAAGTATACGTTTATACGACGGAATTTTTTGTTCTCTGAGCTTAAGGTAGTTAGTAGTTTGTGTTGATGATTTTGTTCCGAAGAACAATGAAAGCTTAACACCTAAACGATTCAGTTCCGAGAACGAAACTGTACTATAATTACCTGCCTGAGCTCCAATTTTTCTCCACTATCTTAAGTATAGATTTATGTACTTGATATATAGGGGACTATTCAACCGCTCTAACCGAAGTATGAATAAAGAGCTTTATCGGTGAATTTGGTTGATCCATTTACGACAACGAAAATCCTCGGTACCGTAGTTTTATACAAAGTGAAAAGATAGCTTTGTCAAAAAGAAGTGAAAACTATGCAAAAAAACAATAGAAATAGGAGCTAGTGAACGAAGAAGTTCAATTGAAAATATAATCCGTATATATTATTCGTTCGTTTTAAAATGTTTAACATACTGTTTATGAAGAACCTATGACTATGAACTATAAACACCATGGTCTCTACAAATCCATTCAGGAACGAATAGGTAGCAACCTTTATATCATAACCACTATTATGAACCCCAATTTCATCCATTAATAACAACAACTACATTTAAATGGGTTCAAATTATTATAGAAATTCAGAAAGACTTGTAATTTATAACTAATAGTTCCAGATCACAATCTTGTCTGATCGATTGCAGATAATCCAGATGCTAAGAAATATAACGCTTTTCGGACCTTCAATCTACTTAAAAATTTTAAGTTAAAGATGTGGACAATTAGTGTTCCGAAAGAAACTCGGTATGCTTTAAGCAAGCAATTATTCCACGTGTTTCATATGACTTTTGAAGTATAGTGAAAGCTAGTATTTAGTAGTATACTGGTAACTGAGAGGTTATATTCATCATGAAGATTCATCACTCACTTGACTCGTGAGTGATGGTACACTTTAGTTCGCCACACTTCCAGATAATCCTGTAAATTACTTGACCAGAACATGTCCCTAACCTTTCAAAAGGTTTTACTCCAGTACTTCAGGCTTCGTTTGCGTTTTCACTTAGGTGGACAAAGCTCATATGTATATAGAACTGATTTTCCTTACTGTGAGAATAGTAATTAAAATTGAACAATATCATACAAAACCCGTTATTGCGTGACGAACAATACTCATCTAGGAAGGTCCCGACCGTAGCTGCTATCTTGAATTGATGATCGTGCTTGCCTGTCGTGATGACCAAACCGAACTATATTGGCTGAAACATATGTTCCTGTAGGTTCTACCACGCCACGCAGGTCGGTTAGAGAACGGTAAGACTAAAAGTAGCAACTGAAGGTCTGAGGACGAAGTCGTACTGCAGTCTCTTGAGAGGCGTGACAGCCGTCAGACAACCAACATCTGCAGTGATCCTGTCTTCTCGCAAGGAAGGAGGAGTTATAAAAGTTCGACCCTAAAATGTCATACCTCACCTTACTCCACGGCCTTTCAGACATCGGCGGAGAGGCTCCACTGAAGACTACTACTCATTCTGGAACTCTTGTTTAAATTCAGATCATGCTTTACTGAGAGCGCATATATCTCAGCGTCTTATTGGACTGCAAGAAAAACTATTAGTGCTCTACCTAATGATAGCAAAGGATACATTCTAGGAATAACTGGAAGAACAGTTAGGCCACCATGTAGTAAGTGAAGCCCGTCCCGAGATAGCTTGGAGCGATATCCAAACTGTTGTGGAAACAGAAGTGACATCTGCTAGTAAGGTTAACCACAAGGTAAGGGAGAAGCCGTGGATTTCAGTAGCATCTGTCGAACTGATGGGTGCTTGAAAACTCATTCAACCTGGCTCCGAGCATGATGAGGAGCGGAGTGAGCTTAAGCGTGGGCTGGCAAGAAGTCGTAGTAATGACCGCGAACAGTAGTGGGTAAAGAAAGCTAAAGAGATGGAAAGGGCAGCAGAGATAGGTAACAGTAGACGACTATTCAGACTTATCAAGGAAACCGGTATTAGGAATCCAACTGTAAGTGAAACCATTTCCGAAAAAGATGGTCTTATTATTCATTCTCAATGCAGGAGATTGGATCGATGTGCAGAACACTTTAGGGATCAGTTCAACTGGCCTTCAGCCACACTTCGATTACCCACGATCTCCACTCAACCAGAGTGGCGAATTAATGTGAGTCCTCCAACTCTTTATGAATTTTAAAAAGCTATAGGAAGTCTGATGCAATGGAGAGCAGCGGGTCCTGATAGGCCAAATCTTGAGATTTTTAGGGATGGTGGTTAAGTTTTAGAAGTTAGATTGACTGAGATCTAAGGTAGAATCTGGAAACTGGGCGTAATACCATCTGACTGGTCTCAATCATTGATTTTCCCAGTCTACAAGAAAGGACAAAAGTCTTCTTGTGACAATCACAGAGGAATCAGTTTTATTAATATAGTGTCTTGGATATAGGCTTCAATAATCCTCCGACGCCAAACAAAGGCTCGTGAAGAAAAGACTCGAGAAAATCACGGTGGATTCAGACCTGGACGTGGATGTATAGACCAGTTACTCAGTGAGAAGACTAAGAGTGGAAAAGGAAGTTTATTAGGCTATGCCGAATTACACTCATTTAGATATACATACTACTGATGAAATAAAATCATTTCTTAGCCGATCACACAGACTTCTCGTTAGATTTTCAAATGACAACTTGACCTACTCAACTGGTGACCTTTGAACGGTCCACTGTATTAAATTCACTACGATAAGTTTACTCTAAAAAACTTGCAATTTATCTATAACTTAGTCATAAATACGGGGAGCCGTACTAACAAAGATTTATAAGTTAACAGATGATGTAAACTTGGTATTGAATGTTTCAATATTAATATTTTCACTAAGCTGAACTTACTAATCGTAATGAGCACATAAAAATAATCAAAATAGTACTAATTATTATTTCTCTAAAAACTATTCAACATAATAAGTGAATGAGTTACGGAATACAAAATTACCTGTCAGTAATCCATTTTGCAGTAACCAACTTCTCATCTGATAGTTTTTTTATCTTTCCATAAGGTAAACGACTGGCAATCACATGAGTAACAGTCGAACGACTGTAGTATGCTTGATAACGACCTCCATAGCGTACTATTAAATCTCTTAAGACTACAGAAGATGGATCTGTAAGTATGAAAATAAGAAAAACTGATAGATTGATTGATTATCTAACCTGTATAACCATTCACATAGATAGACACACCACCAAATAATGACGGACCAGATTCAGTTTGTTCATTGAATTGTTTCTCTAGCTTCGTTTTCTTAGCACGCATATATCCACCCTGATCAAAATAATAAGCATAAATTACCGACTTAAATATATATGAAAAAGTGATAGCTTCATAGGTAAGCATGAAAAAAAACCAGATGATATTAATGAGAGATTGTAGAAAATCATTTAAAAGAGATCAGTTAAATAAATATTGAAATTATTTAAGGAGACTGGATAGTTATTGGTTTTACACTTGGGGACTAATTATCAATACACAAGCTGAATTACTTTCTGGGATCATATTTGAAGGTTAGATTAACTGACAGTCTACTTAAAATCTATAATGTACAAAATTATTGTTAAATTCAGGAGTAGTAACAAACATCCCATTATGATTAATCGAAATAAATTTTTGCCTTATTATGAATGGATCGTTAGGTTAGCGTTTTTTTGGCAAGTTAGATTTCGACGGAATGGGGTCGCCAACCCCATATACAACCCTCCTCCTTTACCCGGGCTTGGGACCGGAAGTAGCCCCGAAGGTTCTACTGGCGGATCGTACTGAGTACTAAATACGGAATGGAAGCATAACAATGCCGTGAGATAAAATTCTGAAACTAGCGTTATCATCATTTTTTTTGGAAATATATTGTTGAAATGCTCTTTAGTTTGCAACGGGAAATCGCTCTCAAAAGCTAGTGAAATAACCGGTTAGTTTTCTGTACTACTAATAAGTAGACCAACATTTATTTTGTATATTTTTTCAAAAATGTAAAATAATATCAAAATACTGAGGAAACTTATCATCAACATAAAATCGAATTTTACTTGTAGTATTCGATTTCGATAAAAGAGTACCACTGTAGTAATACAAACTAGTATATTTTCATACACAGTGTTTGAATTAAAGTTTGATAAAACTTGGTTCATAGTTGGATCTGAATTAATGGCTTTCTGAAACTTGTGACCAAAGTATATTTTAAACGCCAACCGATATTTTTGTGCTTAATCCAGCTGAGTATACGATAGTTGCAAAAAAGCGCTTCTATGTACGCAACTCGATTATTTCATGGTTTTCACACTGTGCTTACATCATGACCCAGCAACACAGTACCTGAAAATTCAAAGATGACAGGCTTTCGATTTCCGACTAAAAAGGTTACACTGAATACGCTAGATAGTTACAGATTTAGACAACAATCTTCCATAAAACCATTTTGATGACAAGTTATCAAGAGCTCATACAGAATTTATGGTCCAAAACGATATATATATATATATATTCAGTTCAAAATAAACGGTTTCAAAACGTTCGACTTTTATATTTGCCGTGTATTTATTCTCAAACTATCACAACAGCACCAAAATTCTCTAAATGAGATAGCCAAACAGGTAAAAAGATCGAATAATTAGCTGAATGCAGTCAGCAAAATACTATGGAGTTAGGTTTCGGGCTAGTTGTTACTCATGTTGAAGAAATCCATGCTCTCTATGGGACACGAATTAAAGCCATGCAACTTTGTAGTTTGAGAGGTTAAAACTAAGCTATCCATGAAGTAAATAACCTCTTACAGAACGGAGAACTTCACATTGATTGACCACTAAGTATGGTTACTCATAAAACAATCTGAAATTTCAGAGTATTAAGTTTCATAGGAAATCATTATCACAAGAGTATCACATGTGAGCTTATAAGCTTGTTCACTAGATTAAGACTAAAAGTCAGTTAACTAGCCCTATAGATAATCATAAAACACTTTAAAAGTAGTTCCAAATCTCCATTACAATTCCACTACTATAATTCTACAACAGAATTTTCAAGACTTCTAGGTTAATATTTTGAACCAGTTAGGATTAGCTCATTTGAAGTAGATCGTTGAATAAAAAGCACAAAAGTACAAAAATATTATTATATTCTCTGAATAGCATCGTTACCACTTTGTTTAAACTTCCGGTGGAGAGGCGATTACAACGAAGATTCAAGATAAATGAGATTGTTAAACAGCCAGACAGCTTCAATTTGTAACTAAACTAAACAACACCCAATAGCTCTGAGGACATATTTTACGTTTTGAGACAGAGAAGCGCATCTGAACTATTTTCATACCGTCAAATAATGAGTTTAGAGGAGGCTAAGCTCTTTCAGCCTTCATCAAACACAACTATGTCAATAGTGTACTTAAATTCAGTTGGTGGGTCTATGGGAGATAGATCGATTCCAGAAGGTTAGGTTAGGAAACGTTGCTATTGTTGGGACTATGTCTATGATGAAATTGTTTAAACGTTTGGAACCGGGCACTATTAAGGACTGTTATTTGATGTAGCTAATTCAGAGGACTGTATGCTGTGTGTTAATACAATCAATAATAATCAAGAGAAAGGTCTGTAGTAGGTATGTCCCTTTTCTGATATACTGAGAGATAGATCTATTGAAAAAACGGAGTCAAACGCACCCATAACTTCATGAAATATAAAGGTTTCTTAGTCAGGGTGTTCGAATATCAGCCACTAAGAACAAGGCTTGGACCACATTCCATCTACTTCACGTTGAAAGAGCCAGGTAGTATCGTTAGCTTGTAGTGTGTCGTTTTACTGCGTGTTCTTAAGCTCGGTTTATAAATCAGAACATGAACTCGTAGTGATGAATACGTTTATTTGAGACACACCACAAAGCGAAGTGGAGAAGCGAATTGGAGAAGCCTAAGAGCCAACTGAAAGAGATAGAGTATGACTAAGAATATATAGTCAGACAAAAATAAGACAGACATATTGTGGTGCTGTGGTGCGAACTACTTATAAGTAGTATATGACGTGAGTGTAAACGTAATGTCCGGCAGCAGAAGATGGGGGAAGATCAAGAAAGGAAGAGTTAGAACACAATGGAATTTGTATGAAACGCATGAATAGTGACAATGGATTGATGTTTGGCAACAGGAACAGTCCAGTTCCATAGGATGAACTGATCTTTTGCAAATGAACGATTTACGATATGGTTTTCCGATTTTACTGAGTAACTCTATAATTTTCGTTAAATACAATTCGGTTGCCCCACCTGTGTACTCATTCACTACAATATGACAAGCAAAATAGGCGTGCACACACATGAATAAGAGCGACGAATGATTGACAAGGTCAAATGACAAGTAGGACATGTCATGTGAGCTCATACAAACCAGACAATAATAAGAACGAATGGTACATATAAATTGTTTCTATACAAATGGCTTGGTTAAATAAATCAGTCGAAAGGGCTTAACCAAGTTAGATGTAAGCCAACTGGAATATATGTGGAGGCACTACAAGCTCTCATACTTTCAGTGGGGATTAAACACAAATCTGTACTTTTGGCAGTGAGATCATGAAATATGATTACAGTTGAGTTTCCCAGAATTGTTAAACCTATATGAGTAAAGAATATTTTGTTTATACATCTAGGAACACATATAAAATCGGCCAAGTACTTTCGGCTTCATCATTCGTGATTTCTAGTCAACAGTCAAACAAAAATGGTTCAGACTCTATATTAGTTGGACGAATTCCCCTAATGCTATCACGAGATGACATTTTATTTCTTGTAACTAAGTCAGTCATAAATTTGGATCAGTCCAATAGAACTACGCCTAAATTCAAATTCAATTGCAGAGTTGTTCTTACCTTAGAAAAACATTTAAATTGTTCTGAAAAAAACCCATAAGTCCAAATATTGTGAGATAAGCCAAGTTAGTCTAAAATACATTTCATCTATAATTAACTAAATCTCAAATAACAAAATATCTAGTATAACCATAGATCCACCGAAAATGATACAACTATAACTAGTATATGTGGAAAAGAGAATAAAAGTTGGACTCTATGTAGACTTTAACGTTACATAAGTGTGTAACTGGCCATCTGCTGAATAGGTTTTGTTTTTAATTGCATTACTGCTTGGTTGGTAAAACTACTTAACATCGAAGTTTTAACGAAAACATTGGAATATGTTTGAAAGTTAAAATGAATTATAGTGATGATGTTTCATTACAGCATTCAACGAAGGTAACTTTCAGCAAGAGAAAACGGTATACAGACGCTAAATGTCGTGCATTCCTTTCCAGAAACTAATAAAACAATTAGATTTTTGATTATTCTCAAAAATATGGTACTTTTTGAAGCAAACATGATCTATATTGTTACAGAGTTAGCAGAAACTTACATATCTTGACCATCCATCGTCTTTACAGTTTCTCAGGTGACCACGTGACATTTTATATACCCAGTATTAACCAGCTGCTTGTTTTTATAAGCATACAGAAACTAGATTGAATGCGGCTAGAATACAAATAAGAAAATGATAGGGATACCAAAAAAGGAAACGATATTAGATGCTATGTATGCACAAAGAAACTCTGAAGTTTTGATGTTGATGTTTTCTTGGAAAACAGGAATGCTTAATCGAAAGTGAACTTATAGTACATCAGTCCACACATAAATCCAAAATAATAATAGTTACACATTCAGGAATGGAATGGAACTAAGTCAAAATGTACTAATTCATGTAAACTCTTAAAATATTTGGGTTATATGATGGGCAGCACTCAAGAAGGAACCCATCAGTAAAGACATTTTCACTTGAGACCCATCTAATATGACGATAACCAGTGATATATATATATATATATATATATATATATATATATATATAAATATAAACTATCAGATGAGAAGTTGGTTACTGCAAAATGGATTACTGACAGGTAATTTTGTATTCCGTAACTCATTCACTTATTATGTTGAATAGTTTTTAGAGAAATAATAATTAGTACTATTTTGATTATTTTTATGTGCTCATTACGATTAGTAAGTTCAGCTTAGTGAAAATATTAATATTGAAACATTCAATACCAAGTTTACATCATCTGTTAACTTATAAATCTTTGTTAGTACGGCTCCCCGTATTTATGACTAAGTTATAGATAAATTGCAAGTTTTTTAGAGTAAACTTATCGTAGTGAATTTAATACAGTGGACCGTTCAAAGGTCACCAGTTGAGTAGGTCAAGTTGTCATTTGAAAATCTAACGAGAAGTCTGTGTGATCGGCTAAGAAATGATTTTATTTCATCAGTAGTATGTATATCTAAATGAGTGTAATTCGGCATAGCCTAATAAACTTCCTTTTCCACTCTTAGTCTTCTCACTGAGTAACTGGTCTATACATCCACGTCCAGGTCTGAATCCACCGTGATTTTCTCGAGTCTTTTCTTCACGAGCCTTTGTTTGGCGTCGGAGGATTATTGAAGCCTATATCCAAGACACTATATTAATAAAACTGATTCCTCTGTGATTGTCACAAGAAGACTTTTGTCCTTTCTTGTAGACTGGGATTAGAAAGACAAAGGTAGAGGTGCTGAAGATTCCAGAAGATTAGGATTTGAGAGAGCACAACGAATGGATGCACTTGCGTCATTGCAAACGATTTTGAGCTATGTCGTTTAAGGTCTCTAACCATTGGTGACTTTCGTCTCGCGGACCCCAACCAGGTAGCCTACATCTACCAACATGACTCAGTCCACTTGTCAGTGACTTCATGGATTTCTGCCATGTTTTGGTCTGGTCGCCCATAGCTTTCTTCCAACCTACTCCTACACCACAAAACATAGCTCGTCAAGGCAGTCGGTGGTTAGGCATTCCTAACACATGTCCCAACCACCTCAGCGGACTGCTGTGCAGTACACTCGTCCTTTGGTTAGCGAACAGATATCTCGTCTACGCCATAAGTGACGCAGGTTGGCAAAAGCCAATCGAGCTTTCTGTATCCGCGCTGAGATTTCGTCAGTCACCAGGCTATCAGCGCTGATGAGACTCCCCAGATAAGTGAAGCGGTCTACATGCTGGACTACTTCACTCCCTACCACTAGTTCAGGTGCCGATGCGACCCAATCTTGAAGCAACATTTTGCATTTCGAGGGGGAAAACCGCATCCCGAACATGCTCGCATTGTTGCTTATGGTAGTCAGAAGACTCTGCATTTTGTCAGCGTCTTCACCGAATAGAACTATGTCATCGGCATATTCTAGATCAGTAAACGACTTTGCTGGTAGAAGGTCAACCCCTGTAAAATCTGACGAGCCTAATGTTAACTCTAAGAGGATGTCTACAACAAAGTTAAGGAAGAATGGATAGAGTGGACATCCCTGACGGACACCACTTGATGTAGAGAATTCCGGTGACAGGTGGCCATAAGCTCTCGCTCGAGCGGGAGTGTTGGTGTAAAGAGCTTGTATAAGGTTAATGTAATTCTTTCGTACACCTTCCAATGACAGAAACTACCACAGAACCTCACGACCAACTGAGTCAAATGCCGCTTTTAGGTCCAGGAATACGACTATTGTCGGACGTCTAAATGTATGTCTGTGTTCCAGGACCTGTCTGAGTGTGAAGACGTGGTCTATACAGCCACGTCCAAGTCGAAAACCAGCCTGATTTTCTCGAGTCTGCTCTTCACGAGCTTTCGTTAAGCGTCGAAGTATTATTGAGGCCAGTATTTTAGATACTATATTAGTTAGACTTATTCCCATGTGATTGTCACAACAAGACTTTTGTCCTTTCTTATAGATTGGGACAATCAAGGATTGAGACCAGTCGGATGGGACTACGTCCAGTTCCCAGATTCTACCTAAGATCTCAGTCAACCTAGCTGCTAAAACTGGACCACCATCCTTAAATATCTCAGGGGTCAGTCTATCAGGACCTGCAGCTCGTCCTCGTTTCAGATTTCCTATAGCTTTCTCAACTTCATGTAGACTGGGAGGACTTAAATCGATTTGCCATTCAGGATGACTAGCCTTATGGTTTACCTTGCTAGCAGATACCATTGCTGTTTCCACAGCCTTCTTGATATCATTCCAACCTGCCTCTGGATGGGAATCACTTGCATGGTCGCCTAACTGTTTTTCTAGTTCCTCCTGAAATATTTTCTTAGCTTGATTATCATCAAGTAAAGCCCTAAGAGGCTTCCTTACGGTGTCTTCCCTACGTCCAGTAAGCCTCAAACAAATACGTGCTCGCACTGGGACATGATCTGAATCTAAACATGTGCCCCAGAATGAGCGGCAGTCCTCTATCGAACCCCTCCATCGGTGGCTGATGGCGATATGATCTAGTTGTGTCCAACGTTGAGACGACTTCGGGGGTCGCCAGGTCAAAAGATGTTTTTCCTTATGCTTAAAATTAGTGTTTGCTAGAAATAGTTGGTTATCTGAGCACATTTGCAACAGACGGTCGCCATTGTCTGTTCTCTGAGCCGCGACAACATAACATCCACCAAGGTGTCCTTCATTTTCACTTAGTCTACCTACTTGAGCATTAAAGTCACCAGCCATTATTACTATATCAGAGCGCCTAGCTTTTTGGAGGAGGTCCGAAAGCTTTCTGTAAAACTCATCTTTAACCTCGTCTGCACTGCAGTCAGTGGGGGCATAGGCAGATATGACGAAGAGGCAACGGCGAGTGTCCCTATCCTTCCGAGTCCTTACTGTCCCGTTCAGTCGGACGGCGCACAAGCGACTATCTACTGGGATCCAGTCAAGGAGAGATAATTCTGCCGTACGACTCAATGCTATACCTTCACCAGCGAGGCCCCTGGAGGCAGCATCAGGGCTTCCGGATACACGAAGAGTAAATCGAGTTGCTTCTTTATCTTGACATGGTGAGGTCAAATGAGTGATGCTACTCGGATCCTGTATGCGCGTTTCCGAGCCGCAGCACACATCGATTGAGCAAGATTCTAAAGTCCTAGCTAATGAAGCCTGTTGCTCTATTTGACACAATGTCCGTACATTAGGGGGTGTAGGAAGCATTTGAATGTGACCAATTTGGTCTCGTGTGCTGTTACGGGTATGAGGGCGGTTGTCACTTCCCGGCTGCCCACACCGTGGAAGGTTGTTTCTTGAGGAACCTGAAAAGGAAGGTAGATTAGCGTTGGTCTGAACGACCTGCGAGCGTGACCGCAGAGCCCAAGGGACAACTGCTTGAGGCCGGTCACGCACGGCCTTTTTATGAAAGGCTTTTTGAGTATTAGCTCCGCTCTTGAAAGCCCTTAGTGGGCACCCTTACCCAAGGAGATGGAAATCCGTGAGGTAGGGTGAGGTGTGACATTTTTAGGGTTGACCTTTTCTAACCCTTCCTTCCTTGTGTGTGTGGGCAGCCGGGAAGTGACAACCGCCCTCATACCCGTAACAGCACGCGAGACCAAATTGGTCAAAATCAAATCCTTTCTACACCCCCTAATGTCTCTCTTATCTCTACGACTAACTCTACTCACACTACCTTTTCTCACTGCACCGCTAATGCAGACGAAGTGAGATCACGAAACGCCGTTCCTGGTCTCCAGACTACATGTTGGAGCTTTTAATGTACGGACATTGTGTCAAATAGGGCAACAGGCATCATTAGCTAGGGCTTTAGAAACTCGTGCCATCGATGTATGCTGCGTCTCGGAAACGCGCATACAGGATCCTAGTAAAGTCATTAACCTGATTCCACCTTGTCAAAACGAAGAAGCAGCTCGATTTACTCTTCGTGTATCCGGTAGCCCTGATGCTGCTTCCAGGGGTCTTGCTGGCGTAGGCATAGCGTTGAGTCCTAGGGCAGAATTATCTCTCCTAGACTGGATCCCAGTAGATAGTCGCTTGTGCGCTGTCCGACTAAACGGGACAGTAAGGACTCGGAAGGATAGGGACACTCACCGTTGCCTCTTCGTCATATCTGCCTATGCCCCCACTGACTGCAGTCCAGACAAGGTTAAAGATGAGTTTTACAGAAAGCTTTCGGACCTCCTTCAAAAAGCTAGGCGCTCTGATATAGTAATAATGGCTGGTGACTTTAATGCTCAAGTAGGTAGACTAGGTGAAAAGGAAAGACATCTTGGTGGATGTTATGGTGTAGCGACTGAGAGAACAGACGATGGCGACCGTCTGTTGCAACTATGCTCAGATAACCGCCTATTCTTAGCGAACACCAACTTTAGGCATAAGGAAAAGCATCTGTTGACCTGGCGACCCCCGAAGTCGTCTCAACGTTGGACTCAACTAGATCACATCGCCATCAGTCAGTCAGTTGCAACGTAGAACTTCGTACGTATGTACATAAGCTCATGTTGCCATACCACATTATTAGCACAGAGACTCAAATGTCAAATCGAATCCCATAGTGATAAAGACAGTAGAAGTATTAATATAAATAAAGAAGACTAGAGTTAGAAGAAATTATTCAAGAAGTATAATTCAGTGAGAAAAGTTTAGAAAGACAATGGCAGAGGTGCTGGCTAATCCAGAAGATTAGGATTTGAGAGAGCTCAAAGAG